GGTGCTTGCGAATTACCACCTAATTTACTCTATGTATTACCTCATGGAGATCATTTATCGGGATATATATCCAGGTATAGTACCAGGAATATTTTATTTCTCATTATATATTATCAAAATTGATGATATATTTTATTTTTAACAGACTAGAAACTGCATTTTATCAATTGGCACAAAATTTTTATCATCATGAATATCGTATTATTAGAAGTCATCGGGATCAATTAAATAAAACTGTTCATCAGTATTTATTTGTACGTCATCAATTTAAAATGGGATTCTTAAATGAACTGAAGCAAGATCAACCTCAAAAGTAAGAATCCTAAGGTAAAGGTTTTTCTATTAGATTTTAATTAATTTTTATTTCTTTTTCACAGGCATTACGTCCAAGCGTATCATAATCTCTTTGAAATAAGAATGGTAGACACTAACGCATTGGAAATAAAAACTATTGCTGGTTTTATAAACTATAAAATATGCAAGATAATGTTTAGTTTAAATCTTCCAAAAGATGCTATAGCACAATTTAGACTTCATACAGAAAGGTTAGTAATATATTTCTGAGATATTTATAAGATTTAGAAAAGCATTGAATAATATCAATAATTCATACGTGTAGGTTTAAACTAAAAACTGGTCCAAAGGAATTGATATTTGAACATCATGCTTGGATGAGTAACCAGTTTTCAACATTTGCAGAATTATTTGATGATGCAATTCGACAAGGTCTTCCTGCAGTCCAAACTCAACATCCTGGTTATTATTATCAATTAGCAGCACAACATGCGAGCTTGAGGCAATCTGCGTGTAAAGAGTTATGTAAAGTATGTAATAATAATTTATTAAATAGTATATTATCTTTTATCTAATTAATACATTTTGAAATATAATGTTACAGAATGTAAATAGTTATCCAGATCTAGATCCATTAGCTGAGGAAGAAAAACTTGATTTTTATGGTCAACGTCCGTGGCGTTCTGGAAAATTAAATGTAGAACCACTGGATACTGTTAAAGAAGCAGCTGCTATACAAGCATTACAATATAAAGAAAAAACCTCTGTAAATCATTCTGTAAGTTTGATGTATTTAACAAAAGACTGATGAACACAATGAGCTATGATAATTATTATTTACTGATATTTTAGATGATAATAATTGGCTTGTTGGGAAATGCCATTTCTCAATTTAAAATATATCGATGTCCTAGAATGCGCAGATCGCTAGGTAAATATTTTCTTTGTATTCCTTATCTTTTAACTTATCTTATATATTATATATTTTTTTTTTATATGTATGTATATATATATATATATATATACATATCAAAAATCGTGTATGCATTATTGCAGTTGTACAGATGGCTGAAGAATATTATAATTCACAGGACTATGGGAAAGTTCTTACGTAAGTTATATTTGTTGTTTCATTTTAGTATTTTTTTTTTTTTACAAACTTCGAAAGGTTTATTACTTTTTTGTAATATTCAGTAGTCCAAAATTGATCTTGACATTATTTTCTCTAGATAGTTTTCTTGTGTTAACGTCAAAATCATAAAATTTGATTGGTCAGATTATTGATGCACATGTTATGGGAGTATCATGGAGAGAGATGGCCCGTCTTGCTAACAGATATCCTAAAAAATGCTTTACGAGCTGCATATTTGTCCACAAGCATTCAAGACTACCTCACTTTATCTTTTGAAGCTTTAGGACCTTCTACAACATTTTCTAAAGATCAACAAACTATTGTTTACACCAATATTACTAATATTCTTGAGGTACAAATATTATTTTATTTTTAATATTTAGCTCTTTCGCATCAATCCATCAAATATTTATTGAGAAGAAATTTAAAAAATGTTATTTATTGATATGTATAATATAGAAACGACCACCGCATCCGGAACTAGATTTACCAGATGATCTAAAACGCCTTGCATTAGAAAAATGGAAATTAGAATTGGCTCGGCAAGAACCAATTATTTTTACAATTGATGATAACAATATGGCTTCATTTATAGATGTTAAAGCACAATTTTTAAAATCAAGTTATATGGTTAATGAAAATGTTACTGTTGAAGTAATTATAAGGTGGTTATTGAATTTTATACCAAAATATTGTTCGTCACGTACAAAATAACTAACTATATAACGTTTATTACAGAAATACATTTTCTGGAAATATTGAGTTTTCTAAGGTGTCTGCGACAATTAATAGCCCTGTTTTTAATACAGAAATTGTAGTTGCTATCCCTCAGCAGAATAATATTGATCTTATATTCTCTGCCAATGAAATTAAAAAATTTTATGGTGAATTTGCGGCGCCTCCTTTAAGTCATAGTAGTGAAATCCATATTGGTACAATCACATTATATATGGGAAATGAAACTCAATGTTCTATCATTTTAAGATTTCCGGCTGCGGGAAAGGAAACAAATCTTTTACATCGTTTATATCCTGAAATACAACTATTGCAGTACGTAATTCATATAACATATTATATACAATATTTTAAAAATATTTTATGACATCATGTATTATGAAATTGTTTAAACAGTAGTGGCAAATTCGAAACGATAAAACCATTACTAACAACAGAAATCAAAAGGAAAGAAAATGATGTTAATATAAATGCAAAATCTAATAATCCTGCGTTATTAGGAGAATGGATACCTATTACAATACATGTAACTACTGAAGACTATATTACTGTAACATCTTTCCATGTTGGTTTTCAGATGGATGGAAACAATGAACAATCAAGTAAGTTTTTGTAAAATATTAAATTGTCCCATAAATTCTTTCCACGCCACCCTATGTATGACTTCGTAAGACAGAAACTCTTACAGTTTAATTGGAACGTTCTACTTCATCCTCCGTACTCCACAGACCTTGCTCTATCCGATTATTACTTGTTTCTCTCGTTAAAAAATTTTCTCCATGATAAATGTCACAAATCCGAAAGCGAAATGAAAACGTACCTCGATAAATATTTTGCAAGTAAGTCTCAACAATTTTGGAAAGAGAGTTCCTGAGAGGTGTAAGAAAGTAATAGAGCAGAACGGTTCATACATAACACAGTAAATCAACCTTAAACAACAAATATCGTCTATTGAAGTCGTATTAAAAAAAAGGAAGGAACTTATGGGACAACCTAATATTTAACACTAATATTTAAATATATATATATTTGCCAATTATAATAATAACAAATTTTTATAGCTGATTTAAGTTTGACGATGTCGACTAAACAATCGCAGATATCAATTGAAATAGAAAAAACAGAGAAAAATAGTATAATTGAGAAAATTGTATATATGCGGGCGCATAAAGTGGGTAACAGAAATATCACTATAAAAGTATGTAAGATTTGTGTGTATGAACTATAATAAATATAAAATATGTTAATAATTGCAATTATAAGAACATTTTTATAACAGGTAGAATATTTTTATCCAAATGAGATAAAAGGAAGTAAAGAAATTTTACATTCTATATCAGTTTGTAAACCATTCGAAGTAACTACACGATTTTGTACTAATCTCTTAGAACCATTAACAAAAGGTTTCATTCACGAGCCTTTTATTGTCATGCCACATATTTCATGTACATCACCTTGTCCAATAAAAATTCTCCATACTTCAATCGAGTTGGTAAGTCATATATTTCTTACTTGGCTATTATTATAGAATAAAAGTATTATTTTTTCTAAAGGGAGATTTAATGCAAAAGGAAAATAATCAAAATGAAGATAGTATTTTGGCAGGAACTGTACTTTCTGATGGTGAAGCAGGTACCGATGCATATTGTTTAATAGCTAAGGCTGGTAGCGAGCAACCTGTTAGTATAGGAGTATATACTATTAAATGGATACGGTAAATAATCCTTGAAGATTTATATTCCATTTAATAAAAATTATTATTAAAACATACATTCTCTCTCGTTTATTTTTAGTGCAAATGATGAGAATGCATCAGAAACTAGTAGTAGCGTAACATTAGCTCCATTGTGGATAGAAGATGCAGTAATTAGTTTAGAAGCTAAATTACCAGCTCATGGTTGGGTATGCACGCCACTTTATATATCATATATCATACAAAATCATTCCGATCATTTGATCACGTTACGTTTAACAATGGAGGCTAGCGAAGCATTTATGTTTGCTGGGCAAAAGCAGGTAAATTTATATTGATCATTATTACCCGTATCAACATGATCATTTAACTTGATGCTTTTCCTAGGTTGATATTTATATTCTTCCAAAAAATGAAAAGAGAGTAGAGTGGATTTTACGTCCACTCGTTGCTGGACTTGTAGCATTACCAATATTATCTTTAATTGTACCTGCCGGTAATATACCACAATTTAATAAATATAATATTTCATACTATTTTTAATTTATTTTATTTCTTTTTTTATTCTTTTTCATATTTTCAGATGAAGAACATAAATTAAGTAAAGGACGCCTTTCGGAAGTGCTGGAACGTTCATTGCCAAGTCATATTTATATATTGGTAAGTTCTCTTAAATTTTAAATGATGTAAAATTGTAGTTTTTTTCTTCTCTTCCTTTTTCTTTCGGACATTATATTTGTTTGTTACAGCCAAAATCACAATCTATAGATGATTAAACATGACATATTTATTTAGACACCATGGGTATACTTTACACATAATTTCATGTGTATATTACAAAGATATAATATATATACATATATATATTAACAACTGATATAGAAACAAATTTGTGTTGGATATAATTTTTAAATGGCAATTTTATATTTTAGCGATAAGAGATCCTTATCCTTATATGTATTTAAAGATTTTCTTACATTATAATCATTTTAACTAAGCCTTGCATAATAGTATTATATTGATTCACATCAGTAATCACATCAGTTGATTCATTATTTGCATCTAAGTAAAATGCAATATCGGTAAAGTATTAAACTGTAAAAATTTGTTATCGACGCATAAATATTGATCATCGTTACAAACGTTACTATAATAGTCATATTACAGTGTTTCAATACTATCCTTTATAATGAACATCATATTTATAGGAAAGTGCCTTTAATAATATGATATAATTATTACAAAAAAAATTGATTATCTCTCAAAAAAGACAATACCATCGATAAAAGTGTATACTGAATATTTGTAAAATAAAATAACATTCTATGAGATTCGATTATGAATAAAACAGCAGCCGTTAGCCCAACAATATAAAGAACTTTGCTGCAATTGAATAGTAGAGAAAACGTTTGTTGTTTTCTGCTCCACTTATATCAAATGAGAGATGCTTCAGGTGTTATAAATATTAATAATTATATTTACCAATTATTTTTTATTTATAAATTTAATTATTAATTAAAATTCTCAATAATATGATAGACAGAGTAACTACAAAGGTCATAATGGACGCTCCTGAAAGAGTTCAAGCATCTTTAGATTCACGTGTAAATTTGAAAGAATCGCTGATAAGAAATGAAAAATTTTTAAAGGTACAAACAGTCAAATTTTATATTTACATAAATTTAAATTAACATTTTTACAGCAGCGTAAAACATAATAGCTTTATTGCTAAGAATAAAGAATATTAATTTCATATGATTTTTTTTATTTTTGATAAAAGATATTTTTTTTTATTAATTTTTTATCATGAAAAAAGAAACTGTGTAACGAGCTCATAAACAATGATGAGTCATGCCTATGCGCATACAATATCGCATTTTGTGACTCACTTTTCGTCCGTAAACACCTTTAATTATTTGTGATAAATATTCATATAAATAATACTAAAATTTCAATACCAAAAGAGAAAAGAGAAGGTGGAGTTGCCGAAAACAAAATATTCCTCCATCTTGAATTTAGCTTCATTTAAAATATATAGAAATATAAACTAATTATTATAATTGTTTATATTATATTTTATAATTTTTAATGAATATATAAATGATCGTATTATTAAACTATAATATACAATAGGACTTGGAACTTTCTAAAGCTCGTTTGAGAACTCTCGCAGCTTATACACCTACCGAAGAAGAATTACAGCAAGTTGCTTCAACATATCGTAAACGTCTTCAAAAGAAATCAGACTCTTAAATTAATAATATTCATGTAGAGAGAACATTTACTGTGGTGAATGTTATTGCGATCTAATAACTCGAGCCGAACGAACAAACTTCCAATTGAAAAGTTTGTTAATCGTCAGGATCGATGAATCGGATCGTTTAGCGGTATATTTAATTTGCTTATATAAAAAATAAGCATAAACAATTTATATTGAATTATTGTTTAAAACTATGATGAAAAAAGAAATAACAATCGAAAATAATACTATACATAATTGTACCCTTTTAATACAATATTTTTAATTTACGAATTGTAATGATATCAATCAACATATGTTGTTGTAATTTCTGTTGTTAGGACGGCTTGATCTTTTATGTTAATCAATAATTTCTTTGACTAAAAAAATTAATTCAGAAAGGATAAAAATGTAATACATATTTCTTCTTAATTATCGTACAAGGAATATTACTTACGCGTGATTTTAAAATCAAAGTATTATATTTTAAAAATTTCCCATCGGCTCTGTATATTTTGTAGATTTCGTGGCAGGGCACAATTTTAAAAGAGACAAGTACGTACGACGTTCACCTGTAAGAATGACATTCATATTCATTTTCCATGTTGTGGCTGCACTATCATCAACAATAATTACCAGCTCATACAACATGTATGTTTGATAGGAAAGCCACGTTTCCTGGACTGTCCTGATAAGAACCGAAGACAATAATTTGTCAGAATGATACTATACGGTTTTATTTTAAAGCCGTGCTACATACTGTATCTAATCTTGACCTTCTAAATAAAATTTCACTCAAAAATCTTTCACTTTATTATTTAAATTAATATTATAAATATATTATATAGCTCTTTTTATCTTGTATCTTCGCTAGACAAAATCAAACTTGTTATCTTCGATTCTTCGAATAAGAATATATCCTACAAAATTATTTAAAAATTACGTAAATATATAAACATTTTATTTGTTCTTTTTTATCATTAAAAATATATCGAAACTAGTTACCAAGTAAAATTGTAAACTCGTTAAAATGCAATACGAGCTAAGATTCTGATTTTATCAAAGTTTTATTTTTGAATTATTCAAATATCAGAAAATTCCAATATATACGTCTGTATTTTAATAATTTACTTACCTACATAATTACAATTAGTATGTTAATAACACACTTCTATTGTAAATGTGTTCTGCACACCTCTAAATATTCGAAGAAACTGAGATAAAACAGTTGTAACAAGTAAAATGTTACTACTAATTTTAAAACTCAACGTGGCATAGCAACTGAATAAATAAAATGCGACTGTACGACATCGTCATTGTGAATCAAAAACATCTGTATCAATATATATTTATTATCTTCAAAATACTCTTTTCTCTTTTCTAATATGAATAAATATATATAATATACGAAAATGTTTATAATTCGTGAATAACTTTGTTTCTTATGTGTTATTTTATTAGAAATACCAATATATACTTTCACTCTAAAATTTGATATTTTACATATTACAAGATATGCGTAATAATTATGTGTACATTTTGTTCTCTTATATATAATTTAAATTATATACCCATATAGGTATATAAAGACATATACTTATATACGATCAAAATGTAGAACAAAAAGAAATAGGTGAACTGATAGCGAATATAGCTTCCATTATTCTTATCGCTTACTTGCAGTTGCATAAGTGTAAGCTGGTATAAGTTTGTTGCATTTGACTACCTTCTGCCATTATTACTTTATCATTGATATTAACGGCGAACATAATATCTACGACGATATTATTTCTTTTTACTTAAAACTAAAACGAAAAATAACTGTCCTTGCAAACTCATGATATAACTTTTAGCACAATATATATACATATATATTTTTTTTACTTTACTAAAACTCGTAATTTTATTTATTCTGTTTATTTAGAGCAGCGAAAAATATGAAAATCTTAGAAATTGTTACCATATCATTTTATTTTTATGTCGTATAGTCACGGTATTTTTTATTCTCAAATAAATATCTCAAGAATACAATTATATTTTTCGTCAATGAAAATAAATATTTCACAATAATATTATTACAATTTATACGTGCGCACGCGGGACGCGCGATTTTGCGGGCTTAAATCTTAGTATTATAATATTATATTAAATATTTGCAAAAATAATATAAGTAGTAAATAGTGCCAATTATCTTTAATTAATTTGATTCTTACTTATGTCTTAAATGTTATTTAAATAATTGTTAAATATTATATAATATTAATAAATCGTAGAGAAATAGCTGTCTAAGTATAATTTAAATTTACTAAATAATCATCATAAGATATCATCACATATTTTATTAACTATGTCTGAATTATTTTCACCAATTAAATTCGCTATATATATATATCTATATTATCTAAAATATATTATTTTTAATTTTTTAGAAAATTGATTATTAGTGGTGCAACTCTTTCAGGATTTATTAAATGAACATGATGAGTGCCATTAACTTCATGATATTCAAATTTACTAGCATTTAATTTTATTTGATCAAGGACTTTCTGATAATTTTCAGGTTGTTCGAATTCCATACCAGGAACGGCCCGAATGTTAAGATATGCACATTTTATTTTGGATGCATATGCAAGTACCAAATCTAAGGATAGCATACCTAGCGTAGAAACCTGTAAATTTTATCCAGTCATAAACATATATTTCTTTCTACTTTTAACACGAATATCTTTTTATTTTACAACTTACCTTCAATCTTGGATCACGTGCAAAGTAATATTTGTTAGTAGTATAAGAAGGTTGTATACCACGCTTCATTAATGTTTTAGCTCCCATTTTGTTTATGGAACCATTGTAAGCAGTTACAACTATATCAATCATCTCAGAATACTCATAACATGGAGTATTGTCTAACGTAAGCTGTTCATATTTTAAGAATTTATCGATGTGATCTCCTGTTATTGCTGCAGTCTTAGTTATATCCCTTACACTAGGACTAACTATATCCAAACTAATTAAGAAATCTACTTCTTTAGGATAAGATGCAGCATACAAGAATGATATTGCTCCGCCCAATGAATGTCCCAATAATTTCACCTACATTTAAAATGAAATAATTAATAAACAAGAAATTATACAATTGCTTAAATAGATAGTTTAACAAACGAAAACTAAATCAAATTTGTGGTGGTATTATATTAGTACTTGTGTATAATTAACATGCACATTGTGTTAAAATCTTGACAATAATTAATTTAATCTATAAGGATGACTGTTACATTTAAATATTAGAGTATTGATTAAAATGTAAAGAAAAAGGGAATAACGTAATCGTATACATCATTCATTTGTGATCAATAAAGGAGTGGTAATCGAATCCACTCGCTAACCTTAGTCCACTTGAAATATTTTATAACTTTACGTAGCATTATAACACCATCCCAATAAACATAATAGTATTGACATTTTGGATAATGCGAAGATAAACCGTGTCCAGGCATATCCAAGCAAAGTATTGAAACATCATCAGGAAGTAATGGAATCAAAGTATCAAAACTGCCTGCGTTATCTTGACGACCATGTAGTGCCACTATTGGTTGAACCCATCGAGGGCCCCACCATTTGCCTGTAGGTGAGCAATAATGTTACTGTAAGTAATAATTATTACCACTTTTTCTAAAACGCAACTATAATTATATTTTAGTATTTTTCTGCTTAAGTTATGTATCACATCTTGAAAGTTTTTAAACAACATCTCAAAATGAAACAAAGTCACAGCAGAATTTAAAATACTATACCCTATTCGATTGGGTGTTTATGGAATAGTTATACAACGACCTTAGAACATTTTCATTGAAATTGTAAGATCAAACTTGTTCTCAGAAATTTTACAATTTGATGTCTGTATAATGGTATATAATTTAGTTGATGAATAAAATATGTATTATGCATAGCATAAAACTTAACATAAATCGTAACAGTCAACCTTTTTCAAGATAGATTAGCATGATTTTTGTTGTGTTAGATAATGTATTTTTACAGCATCATTGGTGCAATAATAATAAATTATTTGAATTAAATATCAAATAGAAAATAACTGCAAGCATTCACGGAGTTATCAAAATAATATTACCTATACGAAACGTATTCAGATTTATCATACATGTAATGTCTCCTAAAATAGAAAGAAATACTTAAATTTCTATTACGTAACTTAGAAAAATCAACATATATCAACATATATCAACATATTATATAATGATTAAATGAAGAAATAAATGTCATTATACAAATCATTAAAATAAATCTTAAAAATGAGAGTTAAGCATGTAAATAAATTTAAATCATTGTGAGTTGGTTACATAAATGAAATTGGCAATACGATAATCGTTGTATAACTTTGACTGCTAGCTAACCTTGTTCCACTTGTAATGCTTAACAATTCTACGTAGAATGACAACCCCATCCCAAAATATATAATAGAACTGTCCCGATGGCAGATGAGAAGAGTAACCATGGCCAGGCAGATCTATGCTGAGAATGGGTAGATTTGACGATATAAATGGTGCCAAGTTATCAAAACTTCCTGCATTATCCTGCCAGCCATGTATTGCCACTATCGGTTGTTTGTCTCTTGATCCCCACAATTTTCCTAAATGTTTTATTACTATGAATTTATTTAATAAATTTTGTGTAAGATCTTTCAAACTGAAAAAAAAAAAAGGAAAAGAACGGTCAATAAGATATAATTTATACTGACCGCTAATAAAACCCCAAGGTACAGGAATTTGTATTTCTTCAGGATCTAAAAGAACAAACAAACGTTTTTATTAAACATCATAAAAATAATATATTCAAATAAAATTGTAACATATTAAAAACCAGTATGTATATGTATGCATGCATATATAATTTGAATAGATAAAATCTTGCCATTCTGGTTGTAGCCATTTTTGTCATTCACAGCTGACTCATCATTTTTACCAGTATTTAAGGAATCCATTATTTCTATATACCACAATTAAAATAATCTTATTAATAAGAAAATATTTATGTTCAATAAATAAATAATTGCGCATTACTATCTATTACAATACCACAATTAATAGACGCAGCGCTACAAATGATTAAAACGCTAGTTACCAACTATTTCAGAGTGTATTCAACTTTATAAAAACTCTACTCTAAGCACGTCTATAAATATCATGACGTAAGCATAATTTAACCTATAAAATATTCAATATAATAATAAAGTAACTTAATTGATCATTTAAATATGAAACTGGATCATTTATATTGATATGTACACTAGAAAATTAATGAATAGTAAAAAGTACTAAAATTATTCGCAAAAAATATTACGAAATGAACATTTTCCATATTACAAATATGAAAATTACTGTTTTTGAAATGAAAAAGAATTTCAATTTGAATTTCGAAGTGCTTTTATTTATCATCATCTTGCGCAATGAAAATATATATACAAATATCTTTCTAATTTACGTGTTTTCTTTTATATTTTGTTCTATATTACTTGACAGATCAAAACAGTTAGATACTAAATCACGTTTGAAATATATCTGCCGCAATATAAAATGATTTTATTATTTAAAATAATATAAGAAAGCAAAGTTACTTTTTCTAATAATAAAATAATTATTGAAATTTATTCTAAATTACAAATGAAATGTAATTTTTACATAATTCTAATTTGACCTTTGCAGAATATTTATACTGTGAATAGATATGTAAAATGGAGAATTCAGAATTTATTATAAAAACTGTTATTCATGTAGGAACAAAGCATGTTACCTTTGTTCCTGGAACAAAAGTATGTTTAATAATATTTAATATTTCATAATCAATATTCTCAGGATTTATATAGTTGGTCAGTTAATCATGTAAAAATATATTTATATTATATTATTTAGGTTGTATTTCACTTTAAAACAACAAAATGTGATACAAATAAAACTGTAATAGATGATAGTAGAATTCTGGGATCCCCAATGGAATTAATTTTAGGAAAAAAATTTAAACTCGAAGTATGGGAAGTAATAATACAAAAAATGGCATTAAATGAAGTGGCTTGTTTTAAAATAGATAAAAGCGTATGTATATTTTATATAAATGTATCGTATGAAATAAATAAATAACTATTATTATATATTTCTTATATCTTTCTCTGTTATTGTTTCAGCTAGTCACCGCATATCCTTTTGTGTCTAAAACATTAAGAGAAGTAGGTAAACCGCAATCTGAAAAGCGTAGTCATCATTGTTGTGGAGTTACTTTACAAAATGAAGGAATTGGATATGAAGATTTAAATGAACTTATTAAGTATCCTCAAGATTTAGAATTCACAATAGGTATGCTCATTTATTTTTCCTAAAATTCGATTTTTTTACGATAACTTTTATACCTAATATATATACAATACATTATAGAACTGAAACAAATAATATTACCAAATGAATACGAAAAAGAAACATGGCAGATGACCGAGGATGAAAAACTTAAAAGCGTGCCAGATTTAAAAGAAAAAGGAAATGTTTTGTTCAAAAATAAAGATTATGATAAAGCTTCTGAAATATATGCCAAAGCTATTGGAATTTTGGAACAACTTATGCTTGCGTTAGTATAGAAGTATTTCAATCGGTATAATATTATACAATTTCTGATAATTATTAAACTATAAATTTAAATACTTGTAATTTGTTTAAATTTTTAGAGAAAAACCAAATGATGAGGAATGGTTAACTTTAAATAAAATGAAAGTACCATTATTATTGAATTATGCGCAATGTAAATTAATAAACAAAGAATATTATTCGGTTATAGAACATTGTACAACAGTATTAAAAATCGAACCAGGTTTGTATTATTTGTTTTAGAAGAAAACAAGAAGTAATCTGCCTGTAAATTTATTTGATTAATACTTTTTAGATAATGTTAAAGCTCTATATAGAAGAGGAAAAGCTTATATCGGTACATGGGATGAAGATAAAGCCACCAAAGATTTGAAAAAAGTTACAGAATTAGATCCTTCCTTGCAGAATATGATCGATAAAGAATTACAAGTACTTGCAACAGTCATTAAAGAAAATGATAGAATACAACAACAAAAACTTGCACAAATGTTTAAATAATTATAAATGTATATATTAAATGATTATTATAAGTGAGTGTAATTATATCTTTCTCATCAATTTTATCTCGAGTTCAAAGTACATAAAAAGAAAGTGGGATTATCAAAAACAACCATTGCTGGATTTCATTGATTACCATAATTTTTCAAAAATATAAATGCAGTTTTTGAAGGAATATTATTTAAAAATAATTAGTAAAAAATAGTACTTATATTTTTCTGGTACACGAAGAAGATTTGGATGAATCGATCAAATCTATAAGCAAAGGATATAGGATTGAAGAAAGTTATATTAACTAATAAAATCATATCATAGCTTTAACTTCTAACAATAATATATTTCGAAACATATTGTCAATGGGGGATAAACATTATAACAGATAAACTATATATTGAAATATAAAATTCTGAAGTTTGCTAGCTTCTCGGGTTGATTTCTTCATTTCTGCACAAATATATAATTATTAAAAATAAAAAGATCAAAAATGATATTAAGAAATTTAGTTCAATATAGTTATTTCACGAATACAGAGACAGGACATCGGAATAATAATATTTTTTAAAAAGAAGTAAAAAAAAGTACAATTTTGAACAAATAACATTATTTGTATAACTATATCATTGCATTTCATGTAACAAGCTAAAATACAATAATGCTTGTAGATTTTATTTCATTGAAGAATCTACTATCGCAAAGTTTGGCTAAATGATTAATAATTTATTTATCTTATTGTTAGATACAGATAAAACAAATATAAATAAATCAATTGCTATTGATTATATTATAAGACAAATAGTATTATAAAAATACTAATTATTTATGTATATATATATATATATATAAATAAAAACATATAATAAGATAATATTTTTATGTAAACATTTTTTAGTAAAAACGCTATAATAAATACCTTCATATATTCATGTACTTATGTTAAGTAATATTCTATAATTCTAATCCTTATGCAAAAGTGATTCTTCAATGACTATACATTTCGTTGACAATGAAATTATCTAAATGTAAGATGGACAATTAATCGAATCATAGTCTTAATGATATTAAGCTTTTTCATTTTTGTTTTGCTTTAACTAATAGTAAGTCTTCTATACACTAAACTTGTGCAATCCTTGATGAGAATCTAAATTTAACTACAGAAAGCGTTATATGTAATATAAGTACATTACATTTTATTCAACAGACATAAAAAGAGTATTTTATATAACAAAATGACTTATAACAAATGTTATTCTTTTAAAAATGTGTGAGATATAGAAACTATATTTCTAAGTGTAGAGTTCAAGCTAAGGAATAAATTTATGTATGATAGTTTGGTTTTAGTATTTATTCTTAATACTCCTACTTGTTATCTTTCTTAAAAACATGACATAGATTGACAGATTATCTTTCTGAATTATTTGATAGTACTTCATCATATATTTCAATTAGACAACGCTTCTGTAATTAAATTCAGCAACAGATATTTTACTTTATATATAATCATTCATTGCTGTCATGTATACAAATTCATTTATTCTTGACACATGCTAACTGATTAAAATTCAAAAAATTTTAACATACACTGCTTTACATTCAAATTTTGTAAATGGCAACTGAAATGTAAAGCAGTGTTTGTTTTTTAATACTTTCCCACAAAGATCAATTACTTGACCATGGTAACACACTGATGTTTCAGACTAGAAAAGTACAATTGGCATTAATTTTACAATAAAAAGAAATAAAAGCTGATTTATTATATTTACTATGTTACTTTGTAGGCACTTTCTACGAGTAACTGGAGACTCTTAAAATCTGTAATAACTAAATTCATAATAATATTCTTAATAGTAAAAACTGTTTCACTGTACTGTGCATTACTACTTACATTACAAAATTCTTATAATTAGGAAACTTTAAATATAATTATCAATGAAGTGCATAACTAAATATTACACCATTGTTTGAGAAAGTGTATAGAATGATTAGAATATTTATCCTACTTTTTCACACTGACATTCGCTTTTTCTAACTAATGCATGATTGACTCTTATACTGTAGACACTGTTATTTCTTTTACTTATTAATTTTTTCTCTTTAAGTTTAACATACTTATAAACACTTATCAATCAGCATTTATTGCTTCAAATTGACACTTTCAACTAAAGATACTGTATAGATATATACTGTAACATATAACAGTTAGAGAAAAAATGAATAATATAAATTATGCGTATAAAAGAATATTTTAATTAATAAACAATTTGGGCTGTTGAACAGAAAACTGATTATAAAAAATAACAAATTGTTATATAAAAATTGTTTATTCACTAAGAAAAGTAAATTTTTACTCTCTAGCCCTAATCCTTTCTTAAGTATAATAATATTATACATTAATACTTCAGTATGTAATATCAATAAATCCACTCTTTTATATACTACTCGCTTTTTTCTTGCTCAACATTATATCAGTAAATAATATTTTATATAGCTACCATGGTCGAATGATATATTAGTACTTATTGCTATTGGCATGTATTTATCCTGTTAGTATATTACGTTTATTAATCGAGCAATACTGATTTAAAAAGAACGAAGCATTAAATCATTTGTAAAACTTAGAACGAAAATCAAATATTTTGTAATTATTAAATGCAACATAGTTACTTGGCATTTTACATATACATGTATGTAAAATATTCTGTACTAAGGAACTATGTGGTTTCAATGCTCTCTTGAATGTAATTATTAATTGTTCATGGTTTTTAAGGCACCGGACACACATATATGGTACATATTTAATTCAAAAACATTGTAACATTTGGCTAGAAATATGTCACCACATATTTTTCATCTGTTGTAACTTAAAAATCATGAACGGCTATATTTATTATACTATTAAATTGAATTTATTATACATCTACGGAATACCGAGATACGTCTTTTTCTTTAAAGGTATATAGAAATCAATTTAATATAATTATTAAAAAAATTTTGAAGCAAAACATTACTTGATATCATAAATCGCTCGTATATTTAAAGCAGTTGTGTAATGATCACTTGCATACATTTAATACTTTATTTTTAGACATTTATTGATCTGGTCAACTTGGTAAAATGTATAGCAATTAATATTTTACATAAACGTAAAATCAATGTTATAATTAAACTTTTTAATTTACCTCACAGAAGTAATAAAAATATATCCAAAAATAAAAAACAATAAAGAGAAATTGCACATTATAAAATTCATTTCAAAAGTTATTCAAAATTTTCATTATAAATCAACAAATATAATTAGAAAATTTATAACAATGTTTTGTAATTTTATAAATAGAAATATTTTTGGAAATACTGACTAGTATTTGACATATCTCTCTGATCGATTGACTGTGAATCACTTCATGTATTCGCATAACAATAACAAAAGAGAAATGTAATTCTCTTTGAAAATTATCACTAGTAACGTTGGAATATCTTTTATGGAGTTGTCGATGTTAAAAATGTCGGATCAACTGCAGCAACTTTTGCAGTAAGAAATGCATGCATACAGAATAATAGATTCTGTAGCTGAGAGCACTCCAATTCCTGTGAAATATAAAAACGCACTATAACAAGTTTTATGTTATATAGTTAATAATGATTTATGTTGTACAGTATCTACAATAAAAGGTATAATTATTTGGCACAATATAACAGTTTAGCTAATTATAAGAACAATTGAACAAAATACCTTTGTCTCTATAGCAATACTGTCAGGTTCTTGGAAGTGCAATTTAAGCCTGCTTTTGCTATCATCGCTAGATCCTCTCAATTGAGAAAATTTGTAACGCCAAACGATTTCTCCAATTCCTTCATAAGAAAGAGTGAATCCCTGAGTCCATTCTAATGTTAAACCTGCACTTCTGCTATTAAATGTGACAGGAAAGGTTTTACTCTGAAATTTGGAAGCTTACAATGATAATAAAACTATAATACTATTATCTCATATATTTAAACAAGTAACTACCCAATTTTTACTGACTTTTAAATGTGTTACAGCTGAACATACAGCAGTATGCCATGCAGCTTCAACTCTTAATAATTCTTGTCGAGTTTCGACGCTCAAATATCTTGGTGGTTTACCCGGACTTTGTGCCAAGAAGCAGTGTTGTCTTTCATCTACATTTTCCGACTCTCTCATTACGCGAAACATAGTCTGATATACTTTAAACGTTAATGCACATCGTGACCAGTCACCTATATTACACTAAAATAAAACAAATAAGAATAAAAGAATAATGTTACGAATAATAGTTGAAATAACATGTGTAATAAAAATAATAATAATAAGATCAATTACACTTACAGGTGGTGTTTCAAATAATAACAAATCAGGCCCTTTCAAAGCTAAAAACCTTGGCCTATAACTTTGCCATGGCTGATTACTATTGCTTACTGCTTCATTTACCCAACCCATGTATTCTATACGTTCACCTGGTCCAAAATTTCGATTGTACAACTTCATCTGTTAATTAATCAAACATACTTGTCAATTCATACACATATATATAATTATGTTGTGTTAAAAAGTAATTGACAATATATATATATATATATATATAAATTACCTGTAAATGTGTTAAGCCTGTAATATTATCAGTTATATATTTTAACCATTGACTCAAAATAGCACTGTCGTCGCAATGTATCACACCAGTACGTGCACCATTAAGGCCTCTAACTTCAAATGCATTTCTTCGTAATTTATCAGTGCCAAAGATATATCTCGTTACATATGCCATCATTAATGGGACTAAAAAGAGAAATATTTATTACTTATAATTATGCGACAAATGATGAATAATATGAAGAATAATCTATTAACCTGTAATAACATCCACCCATCTTTTGTATTGCATTGAAGCAGACGATGCATTTGAACTTTGTCTACTATGACCACATCTAGGACTACCAGCTTGTCTATTTGGCGATACCCAACCATCATCTGCACTTCCATTTGCAACATTATCTAATTTTTCTTCTTTTTCTAATTAAAAAAAAAAAAGAAATATTAGTATGAAATACAATATTGAAAATTCATTTTTTTATTTTGCTTTATAAATATATATTTTAATTACCATTTTTTTGTAGAAATGGTTTTGCAGCACGATAATGTTTGACAGTTAAAACAACTATATCTCCAGCATTCCTTAAGATATTAACAGCATCATCATGATTACAAGCTGTAATATATTCTCCATTCACTGTGTATAAAAATGCAATCAATAATTATTTTAATAAATGCATACAAATTCTGAACAACTAATATTAAAGAGTCAATAATTTCTAGATTTTGATTTATTCAACACAATTAACGCAGGTATATAGTTGTTTATACATTGACTACTCATTGTGAATATATTCGTAATAAATACATATGATTGGCATGATGTGGACAGTCAGCATGTCAAAGAAGAATGAATGCGAAACTATTGGAGAAACTGTCATGCTCCCATTTATCTGCTCGAACACAGTGATATTACGAGTTTCGTTTCATATAAATAGGTCATAGAATATAATAATGTTAAAGTTGTAAGTATATAAGAATAATTGATCAATAAAGATTTACCTTTAATAATGGCATCACCTACAAATAATTGGCCACACTGGTCAGCAGCCTGACCTTTATAAATTCTAGATATGAGTACTGGAAGTTTATGTTCAGCTCCTCCTTTTATACTTAATCCCAATCCTCCAACTTTTTGTCTAGTAATTTGGACCATGCGTTCCTTAGCATCTAATGGTGGCTTATTATGATTTGCTACCTGCTAATATTACGTATTGTCATTTACAAATTCTTTTTATAAACTTAAGTATTTCGTAATATACAAAAATATAATAAGGATCATTAAATTCGATTAAGAAAATTAAAAACAAAAGGATATATGATAAGAAATTGTATAATTGTAATTCTCCCACAAAAATTTCTCTCTTTGCGGAATAACTCAATTGTTCCAATTAATAACATTAATTCAATTAATGCAATAATGAAATTAAGAGAAATAATAAATGGAACGCTTTACCTCTAAATCTTCTCTTTGAAGTTTCAATACTTCCATGGACAGATACAAACGCATAGGAACCGGTTTGCTTTTCCCATCACTAACAGTTACCATTCCCCTCCTTACCTTTAATCATATGACGATGCAATTTGACAATGACAATAGAAAAAAAAAAAGAAATACTTTACATTTATCAGTCACTGGAAAGGAAAGGGGTACAAGTAACATATTTTATAAATTTGGGATAAGCGCATAACTATAAAACTCAATTTCAAATTTAAAAAGAGTATTACTCGTACCCTTTTCCATTTCGATCACTGAAATTAATTGATTTTAATTTGATTAACACATAAAAATATAATATTTCATTTGTAATTATATTCTTTTGTTAACAAAACATATTTCATTGGACATAATTAAAAAAAAAAAAAATAACGTTACTACTAATAAGTAAACGTCGTATAAATATATCTTAAGAAGTATCATAAAAATTAGCTTTCTGTATATTGATCAATTAACTGTGCCGTTATTCGTCGCAAAACCCCCCTACATGTTCAAATAAGCATGCGTATATCCGACGAAGAATTCAAAATAGAACTGCGCCTTCTCATAGAGAGTTTATTCAAAAATTTCGATTACGCGCTTAGATAATACCAATCTCACCGATATTCCTTGGCTACCACATTTAACAAGAACAACTGCAGGCATTTTCTTGAAATATTCACTAAATCATCTTGACATTCCTTTTTCATTTGAATTTGTAATAGAGTTTATATCCTGCCCTTATGTCAGAGCACGATCGGGATAATCGATCGTTATTTGAAAAATAGCACAGATAGACAAGGCTAAGAGAGAAAGAGAAAGAGAGAGAGTGAGAGAGGGAAAGGGAACGAGAGAGAGAGCTATTCTAATATCCTCTTTTCCTACTCGACTTATTGATTCCCGAAAGTTGAACGAACATCAATGAATTAAATCCATTTAATAAAAGCCACGAGTATCGTATACTCCCTTCGTTCTTACTTTCAATCTTTCTCCTTCTTTAATTTGTTCTTCTTTTTTATATATTTTTTTCTAAACTTTTAAAAAACAAATGAATACCTTGAGCTTCTGATCAATCTTCTCCTCAATCGGAGTGCTCATCTTCGTCGCGTTGATTCTCATTATTCGTCTAGATTATCCAATTTCCCTGCGTACTCGGCTAGGTTGCCATGAGTAGTGGACGATAGTGTCTTGAAGACGACAACGGTGGTGGTGGTGATCATCGATATAAGAAACAACTGCATGTTCTCCTTACACTAATTTCATTAGATCCGCGAGAAACCTAGGTTGCACGACAATCGTCAAAATGAATATGTATCTCATCGTCGAGCCTTTTCTTTTTTTATTTATTCTTTTTTTCTTATTCCCCGAGGCACCACTAACGACGCGACAATATTTTCGTGGTCAGATTAGGGCAAAATGCGATCGTACATCGTAATGCAATTAAATTAGTATTCTTTTTTTTCTTCGTAATTACTGTTATTTAAAAATAATGCGAAACTGTTTGAAGCGCCGGTACTTTTGGCAGGAATCAATTGTCAAACTTTAGATAATAGAATAAAACGAATAGAACCGCAGAAGTGACGTTTATCTGTCGCTAATGATACTACTGTTAGCTTGCTGCTAACTAAAAGCCAGCAAAAGTCCGCGACCGTGGCGCATCGATTTACGCAGTGTAATGCGCATAAATGGCGCTTTATATTCACCCAATTCTCGCGGGAAATATGAATTACATCTTATTCTTTTTCTATCAATGATTTTTTTACTTTTTATTTCAAATCTCATATATATATATATATATATATATATTATTCATTTAACGAATAACGATCAACATTCAATGTTTATGTTTTCGCGTTTATTTAGTGTCATTGAGTGCAGTTACATTTTATCAAAGATTTAAAAAAATCAATTCAAAATACTCGTAATACGAATAAAATCGTCAAATAGTTTCTAAAGATCAGTTTCTGGATAAAAGTATTAAACGTTATTGTTAAATATTTTTACTAATGAATGCTGTTTATTGCACCGTTATATATAGGACTTTGTCTATAAAAAGAAATTATGCTAAATTAATATTTATATAATATATTGCGCGCTAAATAAGTCTTATCTGTGTGCTCCTGTTTCTGTACTAGCAAGAGGAATATGCTCTTAACGCACCATTTCGAGAAATTACATAATAAAAATGTCAATTAATAAAATAAATTTTGCTATTATTACTTATGTACATGAAGTTCGACTTAACTATCACATACATTACATTGTAACTTCCTTAAAATATAATAGTTTTGAGAAAATCATAAGATGCATTTATTAAACCCCAGCTAATAAAAGAACGTATGTAGTTTAAATGCACACCTTTATAAAACCATCTTATACTCCTGTTTCTAGAAATATAGATTTCACGAGACACTGCTATAAATTTTTCAAACGGTTCACCTATCTTCGATTGCATATGTATTTTAATCACATTCATAGGATAAAATACTGTACTAGTAAATCCACCAATTAAAGCTCCACAACAAAAATTTGTTAACAATGATTCCTGATTACCTAATAATAATTTAGATTGATCGCGAAGAGTGAAAAACATAAGATTAGAGCATCCATTTCTATAGATGATAGGGACTAAAGCACGATAACATTCTGCTATTCCATAATTTGTTAGTAGATATTTGAATGCATGAGTAGTATTTTTCAATTTTTTATGATATCGCCAATCTTGCAATAGCGTTTGTACTCTTTCAAGTGGAGTGAGAATTGCTTCTGCAGCMCCAGCCATATTGGCAGCTAATATTTTGGCAAAAAGTTCATTTCCTGTTAACATGCACAGTCTTTGTCTACATCCTTCATATGTACTAAACATTAAACTAAGCGATAGAGTTTTTTGATATAACGGTGGTAGAATGCCTCGGTACAATAATCTTATTCCTTCTTGTGATATTTGTTGAAGAGCAGTACTCGCAGGAACACCTTCTAAAATCTGTATAATAAATAATCATTTAATTATATAAACTAATAAGTATCAAATAAAAACTAATTATTTAAATATTTCTGATAGACTTACCTGCCTAAATATGATTTTATTAAGAGGAAAGGTAATAGAAACATTAATAACTGCTGCACCCCAACCGCATATGAACTCTTTTAAATCATCATTATTAAGTCGTAGCACTGATCTTAATGTAACTTTTGGAGATGTTACGTTACTCATATTAGTATATATGTATTTGAAATGTCTTTTACAGTCAGGAAGAATTAATCATGTAAATTTCTTTTTAATTATTATTCTTTTCAAAATTTTGTTCACTTGTGACTTTTTCCTAAGATAAGATAACATTCTCATAATTATTTGAAGACGTATAGATTTGATATCATTTCAATTGTAAAAAATTCAATTAATACATATTTTTTTAATTTATGATTATGGAATTACCAGAGTAAATGTTATGAAATATAAATATAAATAACATTGTTAATTGAAAAGCAATTATTAATCAACATTAATTATATATAGAAAATTTTACAAAAATATCAAATATTAAGCCAGTGTATAAGTAAAAATTAATCTTTATTTTTATTAATTATCTTATGACTAAAAAAACGTAGACAACAATATGTTAATCCTTTCACAAATTAATATATTATATAACTTAGATTTTTAATTTTAAAGTAATTGCATATGAATATGGCTTACATATTTGTAATCACGTACAAAGCTTGGCAATTGATTTCAATTTATCCGTGCTACGAATTTCGAATTCATTTTTAATTGTTTGCCACCGTCTTTTGTTATTGTATTATTAATTTCGAAGAAGAATAAATAATTTCTCGTTGGTTATTGTTTTTTTTCTCTCGACATTTAATATTCCTATCAAATTACATTTTTGGCAATTTTAGATAAATATTATTGAAGAATAAAATATATTCACTACACCTTATATAAAGCTTTCTTTTTTTTTTAACCAATCAATCACCGCATACCAATTGTTTTTTAAACAAATTACGTTCATTAACTGAGGATGAAATTTGCTGTTGTCAATTGAGATTTCAACGATACATATGTTGAATAGATATATATAAAAACATATGGTAATGCAGCGACCGTTGTAACCAACAATATATAATAATGGTTGATACCAATCGAGTTCATTTTACTATTAATTTTTGTAGATGTTTAATAATCTTTACATGATTATCAAAAGATTAATTATTTTAACATTAGAAACGAACAATTTACAAATTGAATGGTTAATTGATGTAAAGCACGATGCATATATGAATTATACATATATATACAAACAATAAAGTCCGTCAATAATTGTATATATGTAAATGTAAAAGTATGTGTTGAGTATATAACACGATGAGTAATAAATAAAACCATTAGTTGTTCACAGCTACGGCCATTTTAAACGATAGATATATATGTATATAGAACTGATCAATTAAGTGTGCGTAATTATTCTTTTAATGAACAATATTCATTAACGTAGTTGTAAAAGTGTTTCATTCAGAAACAAAAACTTTTTATTTTTGTTTTTTGAAACAAAAAGCTATTAAATATTTTTGTATTCTTACCTAAATTTTATTTTGTTAGTTATATTAATTTCTATATACAATTACAGGTGTTTCAATATAAAAGTTTTATAAGATTTTATTAGGGTTATTAAGTGATTGTGTCTGGTGTAAAGATAATTCTTAAAAAATGATTCGTTTAGCAAAATATTTCGCAACATCAGGAAGTTTTACTAAAATTTTAAATACGAATATAAAGTAAGTTTACAATTTTAGCAATTTTAAAATACATATAAGTAGATAAAAACACTCATGAATAAATATTTAGAATAATAAGTATTATTATCTATTGTCTGTATATATATATATATATATAGACTTTGACTTATGTACAGAAAAATAACATATATGAAGTGGACTTTAAACACTTGCAAACAGTGCTAGGTCTAATCTAGTTATAGATAAATCATTTATTTTTTTAATTTATAAATAGAAAATGTTTACAATGATATGAATCATTTGCATTCAATTATAATTAAGATATAATATTTAAAAATATAATATATATGAATATATATGTATTTTTTCAAATCCAGATGTTATTCAGCTACCCAGGCTGCTGTAAAAACTACAAAAACAGAAAAAGTAGAGAAAGCTAATGCTGGGAAAGAAAGTCAATCTTTTACTACAAATATTTTTCGAGGACAATTGCAAATAAATCAAGTATTTCCTTTTCCTGAACCATTAAATGCGGAACAAACGGAGACAATTAGAATGTTTCTTGACCCAATGGAACAATTTTTTGAGGCAATGATGTTTACTGTACTTTCTTAAACTTCTTTATTTAATATGATTTATTAAAATTGAAAATTTAATCAATAGGAGGTCAATAATCCTGCGAAAAATGATGAAGCACAGACAGTAGATGAAAAAACTCTATCTACATTGTGGGATCTTGGTGGTTTTGGTCTTCAAGTTCCAATAGAATATGGTGGATTAGGATTAAACAATACACAATATACTAGATGCGTGGAAATTTGTGGGTACTATGATTTGGCACTTTCAATTGTTTTGGGTGCACATATGAGTATAGGATTTAAGGTATTTTAAATCTTTTTTAAAAGTGTACGAATTCTCATAATATGTTTGTTCTATCTGAATATAGAATGATCTATTTGATCTTACTTATCTGATAAAAAATATTTATAAATATATTCTTGATATATATTTAGGGTATAACACTATTTGGTACACCAGAACAAAAGAAAAAGTATCTTCCTAGAGTTTGCAATCGTGAATATGCTGCGTTCTGTTTAACAGAACCATCTTGTGGATCAGATGCTAGTGCAATACGGTGTCGTGCAGTTAAATCTGCTGATGGATCCCATTATGTCCTTAATGGTAATAAAATTTGGATTTCAAACGGTGGTATAGCAGATATTTTCACTGTCTTTGCAAAGGTACCAGTTAAAGATCCAGTAACAGGAGAAACCAAGGATATACCTACAGCTTTTATTGTTGAAAGAGGATTTGGTGGTGTAACAAATGGTCCACCAGAAAAGAAAATGGGTATTAAATCTAGTAATACAAGTGCTCTCTTTTTTGAAGATGTAAAAATACCTGTAGAAAATCGTTTAGGCGAAGAAGGGCAAGGATTTAAGGTGAAACATGATATGAATATATAAATAAATACATATAGAAATAATCATACTATGTATAATTATGTATAGAAACCAAAGTTCTACCATTATCTTATTTTTGTTCTTTTGAATATTTTAGATTGCAATGAATATTTTAAACAATGGTAGATTTGGCATGGTAGCTGCTCTAGCAGGTAATATGCGTTATTGTATAAAACGAGCTGTAGAACATGCAACACAACGTGTACAATTTGGACGTACATTAGATAACTATGGCTCTATTCAGGAAAAACTTGCACGCATGAGTATGTTACAATATGTTGCTGAATCTCTTGCATATATGATTTCTGGTAACATGGATAAGGGTAGCCAAGATTATCACTTAGAGGCTGCTATTGGAAAAGTAATATATTTAATAATGATTTAATGTAGCTGAATGTTATAAACATTGTTTATATTTTATATTACATTCCTTTTTATTTTCTAGTGTTTTGCATCTGAATCTGCATGGTGGGTATGTGATGAAGCTATACAAATTCATGGTGGCATGGGATATATGAGAGATACAGGATTAGAACGTATATTACGAGATCTACGTATCTTTAGAATATTTGAAGGTGCAAATGATATTCTTCGTCTATTTATTGCCCTTACTGGTGTACAGTATGCTGGAGGACATTTGAAAGAATTGCAAAAAGCATTCAAAAACCCTACTGCCAATTTGGGTTTGATTGTTGAAGAAGCAGCTAAAAGGGCAACTAGAGCAATTGGTTTAGGTTCATCTCCGAATTTTGCACATTTAGTGCATCCTAGCTTAGCAGAAAGTGCTGCATTGTGCACAAAAGTTTGTTATAGTTCTGATTAAAATTAATTTTATATGTTATATTATATTCTATTTAAATGAATATAATATCATACTTGATTTTAGAATCTTGAATCTTTTGGAACTTGCATAGAAACAAGCCTTGTGAAGTATGGAAAAGGAATTGTGGATGAACAATTCGTTCTACATAGAATAGCTCAAGCAGCAATTGATACATATACAATGGTTGTCGTAATGAGTAGAGCAACTATGGCTGCAAATAAAAACTCTCCAAGCGCACAACATGAACTCCTTATGGCTCAAACTTGGTGTGCAGAGGTACGATATATCTTGATATTTAACATTTTTTTTTCTTATATATGATTATTCATTATTTGCTATTATTATATTTTAGGCATCTAGCCGTGCTGCATATAATCTAAAAGTGGCCAATTCTAAAAAACATTTAGATCTTTTTGATAACTTCAATAAGATTTCAAAAAATATGTGTGATGGTGGTGGATGTGTACATTTAAATCCTTTAGGATTTTAATTATAAGTATATACAATATACTTATAAACATTTATATTGAATTGAAAACAGCAGAACAATAAATATTAAAGATCGGTCTCTATTCCTAACGAATCAGAATCATTATATTCATTTACTCATAATATATATGTATATAATATAAATTTACTCAACTATTGTTATACAAGACAAGCGCGTATACTAAATTCAAGACTAATCAGTGCAGTTTTGAAACATCTGTTTTATATTCATATACTGACTTATATTTTGTTAATCTACGCGTACATATATATATTGTTCTGTTATGTAATATGATATATAATAATTATACTATTTTTATATACTTTTCAATAAATTTTGTTTTGAATTAATGCAAGAAGTAAATAACTACTTTTTAAACTGTGTTCTTTAAAAAGTAGCATTTAATATGAATTATAAATAGAACAGTATTCAGTAAATTAAAATGAAGTGCCTTAAGTGAAAATGTTCATTCATTTTTATATAGATACCTTATACACCCAATATATTTTAAAAAGGGACTACAAATAATTCAATACATATATATATAATAATTCAATATATATATATATATATTGAATATATGTGTGTGTGTAATTTTATATATAAGATGTATTTATAGTATTAAAAATGATATTTTATGTATTCCTAATATATTTTTATAAAAGAAAAAAAATTGTAAATAAAATGTTATGGTTTAGAGCATATTTAGGAGTTAGATGCCATTTATTTCTTATTCATCTGTTTTACAGAGTAATAAAATAAATGTTGAAATTACTAAATAATTTACATTGTTCAAAAATATTTTATCTGGAACTAATTATTTTATCAGAGATACTTTAAATGGGAGAAGTATTATATATATATAATTATAGAAGTATTATATATATAACACTCCTACATTAAAACGACATTTAAAAAATATTAAATTGAATGTTATATAGTTGTTCATTAATTTCTCCCACTTAAAGACACATCCGTTTTAAATATATGAATATATGTAAAAGATAATTTAGAACAATAACTGATTACTCTTATTTTTCTGACTTATAAATGCATAATTTAACAATATCACAAAGTTTTGCAAAGATAAAGATTAGTTCTCTGATCATCTTGTATATAACTATAATAATATGGAAGCACACAAAATATTTATATGACTTTCATATTTTTCCACATGTTTACACCATCCATACATATGCTTATGAATTAATAATTACTTTTATAGAATGAAATACATGCAGAAACATATAAAGTTATTTAATTTATAAATATTAAAAAAAAGCTACATTAGTTTGAGACTCAAAAATTCTGTTACTAGAATATGTTATTAAATAAATTTAATAACATAAGAATAAAAATATTGATTTTATCATTTATTTTTATTTTGAAAATTATATTTCACTTTTGAAGTAGCAATGTTCAGTAAAATTTAAATTTTAATGAAATTATAGTAACATAAATAATTTGACTCTCAAACTTTAATTTTATTTGAACACATAGTGTATTAATAAATTTCATTTGCAGTTCTTGCACAATCATTATGAAATTATTATAAATAGATTCAATTTTTTGTATATATAAGGTATTTATACAATTTATGTAACGTTTTTAGTTATTGTATTAATGATTTTGAATTATAATATTCAGAAAAAATCGAATACTATACTAAAAGAGATAGAGAGAGAAAGAGAGAGATCATTTTATTTTTGTTACTCCAGGTAAGCAAGCACATCTTTAAAAATATACATTTAATAAATATTCCATCACACATTTTCTTATGAAGTTATCCACATCATGTTCAGATAATCTTATGTCTAAAAAGTGATTCTTAAAATATGACACAATAGTTTCTGAAATAGAATTGATGCAAATCTAAAGTTAAGGTATGAAATATGAGATGTAAAGAGAATAATAATTTTATTGCATTCATTTTAAATATAACACCGATGAAGCTTTATGCACAGAAAATATCTATACAAGATAAATTTAACATTACTGAGTAAGGATACTTTTTATGTTATTTATAGTTTGAATATATCATAACCCTGATTTCTCCTCATATGAAAATAAATCTTTATTAATTCTTTACTACAAATTTACTATTTGTCTATACCGATAATGTGCTTATTTAATTTTGTATTGACTGAAATAGACCTAATACCACTTTTTTCACAAAAATACATAATATCTTATATAAAAAAAATATTAATTCATACTATATTTATGTGCAAGCATAAATAATTTATGTTTATATTTAAAAAAAACAATTTTAACGAGTATACAAATAATAGAATTTTTTAAAAGTAAAATTTAATCGTGAATATTTCAACGCTAAAATTATATACATATATCGTATATGTTTTCCTAATTATATCATATTTTATATTTATGACATTATTTTCATTGTTAAGTAATCTCACTTTCGTTGCATCTTATGTCATAATCTTAAATAATGACTTCTTAATAAGAGAAAAACTCAATACTTTCTTTTTATCAACACTCGATTATTATTATTAAATACTATTGCCTTTATAGCTACCCAATAATCAATGTTCTGATACTTATAATGCAATGTAGATACCTTTTTAAATACAAATTTTTGAAAGTTTTTATATTTTTTTCTTATGACAGCAGCATATTGTTTACATTGTTAAATTTCTAAATATTCTGATTATAATATAACTTCAATAAAGTTTTCAACGTATTTTTTTTGTATAGAATTTCATTGTATCTGTTGAACTACTCCCATTAACTTCTGTTACTTTAGTGTAACAGTTAATAATAATAATAATAATATTAATAATAATAATAATATTAATATTAATAATAATAATAATAATAATAATAATAATAATAATAATAATAATAATAATAATAATAATATAATTATATATATATTACAATAAAATGTTCATAAATTTAACTATTTCTATTTTTAGAGTTCGGAAGCAATTAATCTTATATGTATATAAATTGAGGTTTCATTTATACAAGAAAGGAGTAGTTTCAAATACTATCAATTGACCATTGAGTTGCCAATATCATTGTTATATAAATAATTATTATGGATCTCATCTATTTATCTGCTTTATATTATTTCTTAAAAAATAAATAAATTCAAAAGAAGACAGAGGAATATATATTTGATGCAGTTTAAAACATGTACACACCTTTTCGCAAATGCACAAAAATAAATCTGTTTCTTTTCTTTGTTTCTTTAACTAACAAAAATATTATTTACTTCAAACAAATATATAAATTTATATAGAATCTTTATGCTTCTATGAGATTTCTAATTAATTTCCCCTGGCTATTATAATGAATGATTCGTGAACTTACCAATATTTGATTATACTTTATCACTACCTGGAGTAACTGAAAAAGTTTTGGAAAATCAACCCTGTGCTATAGACAGATTTTTAAATGTTTGTCCATTCCAAGCAATTGCAATACAATAATGTTGTAGTAATTGAATGAGAAGCTCTCGTTCATCAAGCATTTCTATATGCTCAATTCGAATGCGATCCGATTGAAGCAGTGAATCGTATACTTCTACCATTGTCCAAGCATTAGAACCTTCCCATCTATTTACTGTAAATCTAAAAGAAAATCCTTATTAAAGTTATGTATGCAATAATCTTGGATATATTGAAATTTAGCCAAAGTGCAGACAATAAAGTAGATCATACCGTCTTTGTTGAGTTTCTAGCGTTTTACAGTCTTTGACTCCTGACAATAAGCATCCACGACTACGTAAATTTGAGAGCATTACTTGCCCAAATTTATCCTTCATATTTATTTGTTCATAACTCACGAATAAACTATTTGGAAATTTATCTGCAAGCCATTGTAATAGTACTGAAACTGCTCTAGTATCTACGTATACTAGAACACATTCCGCAAGAAATAGGGTTGGTAAATCAAAATTAACTTCAGCTTGCGTTAATTTTTTTTCTACTTCATATATATCTCGCAAATCTGTTCCTATCAAATGATAATTAGCAGCGTGTAAATCTATTGTTGAAAACCTTATCTCACCGTCTGTAAATAAGATAAATTAATATTAATATTAATTGTTTTATTATTATATAAACGATATATATTAATACTTTTACCTTCTGTATTTAATGTATCTATCAATTGTTTATGTTTTTTAATGTGATAACATTTTCTCGCTGTAATACTAGGAAAATCTAGTTCTACAAAGTTTGTAGGATTATTTCCAGCATTCTTGAGTTTCCAATAAAGTGTGTCAAAACCAGCACCCAAATTTATAATTTGACTCTTGTCACCTGACAGCTATACCAATAGTACAAAATGTATCAATATATAATTTTGTGTTAATAATATTTTTAATTATTTTTTTTAAGTCCCTAATGCTTGTAATTTATTAAACAGCAGAAATAAAGTTATGTTATTGAGTGAATATTACAAATTATACTTCGTACTTTTTAATTATATAAATAGAAGTATTTCTGTAATATTTTGCAAACTGAAATCTTATAAATAAATTATACTAATGTTAAGTAATTCATAGATACAATTAATCTCACAACAAAATATATTGTTAATAATTAGATATTTATAAAATTTCAATTACAAAATAAATCTTAAGATATTTATATTTAAAATTAGTTACATATATCATTTGTCATTTAGTGCATAACGTCAAATATTATTTGATCGACAAAAATAATGCTTTCGACAAATTATTACAAGGCTTGCTGATAGTATAGATTTTACATTGACCTATATCACAAGTTTACTAAAAAAGCAGATCATGTCGAGAAATTAGAGCAGGGCCTCGGCCAGGTCAAGGTTTCCGGCACTGAAAATCTTTGCTGTACAAATCAGCTGTACCATTTACTACTTCCGTATTTTAGGTTATACTAAATTTGAAAGTCATATTTAGAAAAATTCTCTGCCGTTATTACTCACTTTAAGGAATTTGTCGATGAATACTTCTATGCCCTTGACCCTTGCGTAGTAACCACGATTGATTTCGGGAGGCTTTCGTGTAGTTTGTTTCACAAAAAAATTGATGAATGGATCAGACCAGTATCCAAGTTGCACTGCATATCTTTTACACTCACTGGCATCATCATTTGTGGCCTGTATAGCTTCATCGTCCGTCATACCTTTAATCATTACACTCAACTTTTATAACTTTAGTTGTAGAAACTATTATTTTTCGTTTTCTGGACGTTGCATCTAATACTTGCTCCTCTTTCAAAACTGCACTATCGGCCATACTGTTCAAAGTGCAGGGCCGTATCTACTTACATTTAATGAAGAGGTATAATGGAGGGACAAATTTGGTCTTAACAGTAACGTATATAGTAACTCCAAAGAATACAGAAATACATAGAAGCTCACAAGTCGACTTTTCGCGTAACCAAAATCATTTTAGATAGTACCCTCACCAACAGTGGGCGAGAGTAGGTATTTTAAGAGAATTTTAAATAATTGTAATGAATTTTTAGTGTATAAAAATGTGTGTACCTTCAGAAATGTATTTATAAATACATATATTTATATTTTAAAAAGTATTATTTTAATAAGTTTGGTTGTAAATCCAACGATGATCACCTGTAACAAAAAGAAAACTATATTAATCATACAATCAAATGATAGTATAGCCTGACATATAAATCGTCCCATTCGCAGATGCACTTTTCAATTGAATTCTCTATTTATTTTGATCAAATCTCTATTTACTATTGCAAAAAAAATTAGATTTAAACGCGTGATTTTACATTTACAAAAAATATATATATAAAAAAAGGAAAAGTACAAATATTAAATTATTAGAAAAAATATAATATCTAATAATTATTCACTGTTAGTGAGGGTACTATCTATAATAATTTTGGTTACGCGAAAAGTCGACTTGTGAGCTTCTATGTACTTCTATATTCTTTGGTATCTTTTTCAGTTTTCGTAGTAAAATGAAAACATTTTTTTTTTAATGAGTATAAAATTTGCTCTAATAAAAACACGTTTTTACCAAAATAACGGCTATCTAAAAAAATGTAATAACAAGGAAAGAACACATCTCTTATAATTATGAAAAAATGTATTTTTTTTTTGTTTCTGTACAAAATGTATATCCTTTAATTCTAACAACCTCGTTGCGTATTTAACAAGGCAATACTTCTATTTATATAAGGAACAGTATTTACGTTTGAATTTACTCCTAACTCAAATACTTTTTCCAACAATGGTAATGCATGCTCTGAAAAAAAGAAACGAAAATATATGCATACGTACACATACACAAATATGAAAATACAATAAATGTAATATATTTTAATAATTACATTAGAAGAAAATATATTACCTTGCATACATAAAACAATATCTGGTAATTTATCTAAAGCTGACATAAGTATGTCAGCTCTAGGGTTGTCTAAACATCGTTGAAAAGCAGATAATATATTTGGATTAGAGACAGGATGATGTTTTAATGCTCTAGCAAGTAAAGTGTGAGCTAATGTCCTTATATTCCCTTGTGGTGACAGAAGTAGTTCTGCTATATTATCAATTATTGGTTCCAACATGGCAGGTTTGCGAGAAGACAAATGTTCGATATCTTGGAGAACTCCGAATACGTCTAATAATAATTAGTACATTTTTATTTATCTATTAATAAGTTTTCTTCGTAAACAAAATTAAACTAATTGTACCTTCTCCGTGCAGTTTATTAAGTACTGTAATTAGAGGTTGTCGATGCTGGGGAATTGCAGGTTCTGATGGAAGTGGGCTAGGAGCAAGTGTTAATAATATCTCTTCTGTATCTTCTCCTTCTCTTGGAATTGGAATTCCAGATATAAGTGTCCTCAAAATGGCTAAATTGGGATAATGTGCCTGTAACTCACTATATGCAAATTTAAATAAAATGATTAACATTATATTTTAGTCTAAAAGAAAATTACTTACTGAAGTATTTGGGCATGTTTTTTTAAATATTTTAATGCTCTATTGGGATCATAAGAGATATATCCATATAGGAAAGTAACAAATCTCGTTATTAGAGGTATAAATTCTTTTGTCGGACTGTAGATCTAAAAATTTAAAAGAAATGCATTTAAAAAGAGCTTGGTTTTGTTAAATTGTTATTAAATCAAAAATGAATTTTATAATTTATTGCAAAAAAACATACTTGAAAACATAGGAAATAATTTTCTAATGTATCTTCTAAAGCTGTTTTATGTTCTTCATTAAATATATAAGGTTGTAATAATTCCAGCAATCCCATTACTTGTATAAAGAGATTTAAATGATGACCTGTTTTAAATTGATTATACTCCACATAACATCGACCCATCAATGATGAGGCTAGCATTGGAAGTTGTCGTAATACTAAAATTGGATGTACAGCCGCTATTTTTCTAGCACACAATTCAAATTCTTGAGATTTAAAAGTCCACGATTTTTGTCGCGGTGTTGCCGCCAAAGCTGTTAATAAAGAGTGACTCATACTATCTAAAACTGAACCAGTCCATCCTGTTATTTTTGCACCGGCAACAAACTTTGTTGTTTGATTAACATCCAAATAACATATTACTTTTGGTATTTTCATATACATATGTAAAAGAAATTGATGTGCCATATCAGAATTTACACTGAAACATATACAGGTTTATTATCTAATAAATTAATGAATATATACGTTAGATCAAGATAATATTTAACGAACCTATTATTTTGCATCATATTTTCTGTTAAATACTTTACTACACTAGCAATCAAATGATCATTTGTTGAAATGCAATGCAGTAACAAATCAAGGCGAAGTTCCATACGGGTAAGCGCAGAATTTCTGTCCTCGCAGTTACATATAATAACAGCTTCAGCTACTACATATGCAACAAGGTTCAGTAATTGTTCTTTTTGTAGTAATAATATATTCTCAGGTACATAATGCTTTGGTGTAAATTTATCTCGACCTTGCCAAAGTTTAGGATTACACGTTAATGCCCAAAGAAAATCCAATACAGCACTTGGATCGTATCTGTTTCAATAAAATAAAGTTAGCTAAAGAAATAAATTTTGTATATGTAATATTTCTTCTATTTACCCATCATCATATTTATCCAGCAAATATCCTACACATTTATATAAAGTAGTCCAACTTGCTCTGTGTGTCAGAAGTGTTAATAAGTATGGTCTGCAGGAATGCAAACTCAAAGTATTATTATCCATTTTAACATGTACTTTCGTTTTTCCAAATAAAAGTTTCATTTGAAGATTAGGACATGTATCAATTAATTCAGGTTCTACAGAAGCTAACCAGTCAATTAACAATCTCGTTCGAGATCTTACAATGCCTTCGTTACTATCAGTAATTAATAATCTTGTCATAGCTTCAATAAGGACATCATTCTTCTGTTGTTTGAGGCTAATATCTAACAATTTTCGACCTACACCTTCTAAATTTACAGCATCTGTATTTTCTAAAATTGCTCCAGGATCTCTATTTTGCATTAACATAATTAATTCTTTACGTTGTGGAGTGTTCGTTAACTGTACATTAGCAAAATCTCTTAAAATTGAGAGAATGGGTGCTTTTATGTCACCACCAATCAGTGATATTAGATTTAAACACATATTTCGTGCCAATTCAACCACTTGCTTTGGGGTTGATAGATTTTTTAAGGGTAGTAATATTATACGCATTAAATTACAAGAAAATTGAGGCACACGGACCAAAGATCTGAGAAATTGTTCTACTTGCATTGAGCTTAAAACACTGCATATGTGTTGTATTGCTAAGACCACTGCTCCACTTTCTTTTGCTGATTTCTGAAGATCTTTTGCAAGTGTTTTATGTAAGCGATGATAAGCATCTAGCTTTTGATTTAATGAAATATTTTCAATAAATAGTCGATTAATGAGATGTGGAACATCAGTTTTTACAGAACATTGAATAACAGATTGTTTCTGTACCATAGCACTTTGAGGTAATGGTTCTTGCAATTTATTTAATGCCATGGCATTTTCTTCTGGTAAATGTGGTTCCAATAATTGCAAAACTTGTACAAATACTAATCCTCCTGTAGCTCCTCTTCTATGTTGAACTTCAACTAACTGAGCCATATAAGTTTTATCGAGTACTGCCTCTCCAACTGAACTTGGATCAATTTGTACTCCAGCATCAAGTGTATGTAATAATTTACTCATTGAAGAAACAGGTATTCCAAAGCTTTGGATAAAAAGAACCAATTGTTGTGGTTCTAAATCTTTCAAAGCTGCATCAACTAATCGTGGCACATTACTTCTAATCATACGTAATTTCAACCAATCTGGAATGAGCAATGCTTCTTCACTCGTATCTACAAGAAACGCTTTAGGTGGATCTGTGTTTAAAGGGAACCACGTTTCCAATAAGTTAGCAAATAGCTCATCATCGTCGGATGAATCATAAGTCAAAAGTATTATCATAGCATGAACTACCAAAATATGCATGGTACATTCTTCTCCACTGCTCCATTGAACAAGAATTTGATCTTGACTTTCAGACCAAGCATATCCTTCTCCTCTAGGAGCTCTAGCTTTTTCTAGATAATTGCAAAATATTGCCATAAATGCATGTAATGTCTGTTTAGCTTGATGATTATCACCTTCTGGCTGTGGAAGAATTGCAGCAATAATTGTACTACGTTCAACCACTAATTGTGAAATTTCATTTGCTAAATCAGTTAAATCAGGTAGATCGTCTTCAGTAGTATGCGCAGCAAGATATGATATATAAGCATGTACGAGATCAGGATTATTTTCCACTTGGCAGGCACCTCGAAGAGCGGTAGATACTAAAGAACGTATTGATACAAAATGTGGTATCGATGGTAGCTTACGTAGCAACCAAATTTCTCTGAAATAAAATTATTTTCTTTTAAAAATAAATGTAATAAAATAAATTATTATGTACAAATGAAATACATGCACATAACTTACCTATCAACTTCAATATCCATTTCCATACTTTCCTCTTCGAGCGGTATTGAGTCAAGAACCATTTTTAATCCAGTGATGGCTTGGAGGCGGCTACTGCTTTGTTGACTACTTAATCTTCTTAAAAAATACTCTAAAACTTCGTAGGCATGTTGTTGATCTTGATTCGGATCAGTTAATAAAGTTTGAAGATGAGCTAATAATTGTTGTTGCCTGGGCTGTTTTTCAGCTGCCTGAGTACTTGTAGACAATAAAAATTCACAAAGACATTGTACAGGTAATTGACTGAGTGAACCTTCGCTATTTTGTACTAAATCTGCTAACCATGGCATACTTTGTGACGAACTTTGTTGTTGTCTTTGTATTATGTCTAATAAAAAGTCTGGCTTTCGAGATCGACAAAGCAAATGTCCTAATCTATGAGATACATTCAAAGATTTAATTTGTTCTAACACAGCTGGTGGTGGCCTTCTGGCAATACCGGTTGGATCCATAGTTATTAATTGAGATAAAAGCAAACTGTTTTGTTCAGAAATTTGTATTCTTGTTGATGCTGCAGCTAAATGAGATTCGTATTCAAGAATTTCTTGTTTTTCCATTGCTTCAACATGCATTTCTTTGGCCCGTTCTTGTTCCATAATTTCTGGTAAAGCCATTGTAGGTGGAGGATATGCAAAATGACTGAAAATATTTCACCAATAAAGTATATATACCATGTTATATAACAATTTTCAATGTTACTTAATATACTTACTTACTTAGTAATACACATTTCCATAAGAGTTCGTAAAATAGGATATCGTTTCCATGCAAGAGCGCCAATTGTGGAAGGATTATGAGCAGCTAAAATTAACAACATTATCCATCCTTTCCAATATAAATTTGATATTGCTAAAGTTGGTGGTACATATCTAAATAAAAGTTATTAAAAATATATATTATTATATAAATCCTATATACACATAAAACATAGTAATATATAAATTTACCCAGAAGGTATATTTATTGTTCCTGGTGGTTGATAAATGCAAAGATTGAAAATAAGTTCAATAATATCCGTTTTGTCAGCTTCTAACATTGGAAAACTTTCTGTTGAATTTGCTGCTGCTCTTCTTATTAATTGATCTGTCAAATCTAATGTTTCCGAATGTGTAATACTATTTTCCTACAAATAAATTAACATACTTATGTTATTGTGTATAATTTATAAATTTTGAAAACAAAAATTCTGTTCTTTTATAACAATATTTTATATATTTGAATTTGCATATCCTACTTACTTTAGCAAATCCTATTAATAGTAACCTTAATAATGTACTCTGTAATAATGGAACATCCGACACGAGACGTAGATAGAACACTCTATCTGATTCTGGTGGCCAATTATCTAGTTTATAGTAATGTTCAGCAGATTCCAACATTAGTATCTTGTGTAAACCATGAAGCAGTTCATTTTTACCAATAAGATACATTTGTTGTGCAGTATTCCGAAGCCATAAAACTGTTTCATATTGTATTGTTGCAACTAAATTTTGAAAATGATGTAATATAGCTACATCTTCTTTATCGCCGCGTTGTGCAAGAGTTTCTTTGACTTGTGGACTGATAGCCAGAAGCATACAAAGACAAAGTAAATCAATTAGAGACATAAACACTCGTTCCTTGAATTCAAAGTTTAGTAGTTGTTGTGCTATATCCTGTCTTTCTGACATTAATGTACGTGCGAATGTAACTAAATTAATGTCGTGTCGACAAACACGTACTATTTCTCTGAGCAGTGCACGTAAAGGTCTTAAATAATCTTCTCTGTTCATTAATAAATCTTGAAATATTTCTGCAAGTAATTTAGCTGCTTGCTCAGGTAATGTTTGAAAAATCACAGCTAACATTGGCATGTTATTCGGATTGCGTGCATTTGACAATTCATTATAAATTGTATGTTTTAAAATGGTGGATAAATTTTCTGGATGAAGACCAATAAGTTCCTTTACCCCATTTAAATATAAATTAATCACAGCTTTAGTTTTCAATCGCATTTTTACCAGTTGACTTATTACTTCTACATCTTTTTGCGTATGCGATGTACAATTATAACAAATATAACTAAGTAATTCCTGTGCAGGTCTCATTAATTTAGGATTATGTAGCCACATTTCTAATCTTGGAACAGCTATGTTTCTGATTTCTACAAATCCACATGCCGAAGAAAGTAATTTTAAAAAATTTCTTGTTATTGATTCCGGTTGTCTCCTATTTATTTGTTCTTTGACAGCTGTTAATACAACATATTCTACATTTTCCATGCAATGAGCATATCTGGGAGTTACTGGAAATTCTATTTTTTCTTTATCTCCAGAAAATTGTACAGTTGAAGTTCCTGGTTCTTCATCGTCTACCGTAGAAGGGCTATGACAATCTCTTGGTGTTAATACTGATAATTCTGTTTGTAATACACTTTTGGGTGGTTGTCTTGTATTAAATCCTGTTAATATATTATCAACAAAGCCCTTACATTCTTCATGATCAATCCATACACGTTCACCTAATGCATCTTCAATATAAAGCTATAGAAGTAAAAAAAGAAAATGTTACTATGTACTTCTAACTTGTATTAGTTAAAAGATTATATCACAGTATTACGTTATATAGACAAATATTGTAAAATTTATTGTAATTACTTGTACAAAAATTTCTGGCCAATTTTTCTTATCGTGAAATCCTTTCATTAATAAATTTGCAGCAAGCACTGGTACAAGTGGATTTACTTTACTCTTATAATTATGAGGTTGATCTCTTTTTAATATAGATGACAATGCATGCAGAATGCAATCATTAGAAAAAATCGATGCACGAATTTTGGCTAAATATAGTAATCCCATATATATTAGTGTATCAGGTTTCCATCTTTGATTTTTAAGAGTTTTTATAGCACCGCAAATAATGCCAATAACTTTGTCACCCTCATCATTATCGTTAGCTTCTAACACTAATGGGACAAAATCTGCTGGATCAGTTTCCGTAGCTACTGCTTCCCATGCCTCAGTGCTAGAAAACGGTGGTCTTTGATGAGTGATATGTTGTGAGAGTTTTTGCTTTTTTTGTGGAGTTAATGATAGAAATCCTGTCGGTGCTTCCTTTTTACGTTCTGTGTCTATATTCATAGAAACAAATAGTAATGAAATATTAAAATATTAACTTTTCTTTCATTAAAACATTTTCTCTCTCTTTGCTTAAAGAAATATCATAATTACCAGAAGTGGAAGCAGTACTGCTTGGTTTAGGATGTATAACACCAAGTCTTTTAGAATCTGAATTTTCTCCACGGGAACTCTTCGATCCAAGTGCAAAGAAACCAGAAGGATGCTGAACGATTTTATTTTTAGCACCTCTGCCTGTACTTGTTTTGCCACGCTCCATTGTAATTCTTATCAATATCTATATTCATTGATAAATATACAAAACATAAATTGAATTTATAGGTTTAAGACTCAATACTTTTTTAGCATAACAAATGTAAGTCCTCGTGTCATATATCAGAGATGGTACTTAATTCTATAATTTTAATATTATACGTTTGTAGTTGTAGCATGAAAAACTTAATTTAAGAAAGTTTGTTAAAAATAATAAAATCTTACATATACATATATATATATATATATATAAATATATATATATAACACTTAGTAATATTAGAAATACACTTTTATATTAAAAAAGGAATCATTATTTTATATTTATTAATATTTTATATATTTATATAACCGAAAGTATACGCTCTAAAACTTCTGAATAATGTTGTTAAATATATAATAGATACGCCATTTAAGTTCAGAAGAATGATTGTTACCGGCAACAACAAAATGAATGGTTGCCAAACTTAGATAAGTAGCTCCATCTATCTGTGTCATCTTTCATTTGTTATATTTACTTCAATAAAAAGAAATTTATTTTTTTTTTGTTTTTTTCATTTAATTTTTTCTACGTTCTAATATATAATCATTGGAATAATAAAAAAGAAATATAAATATTAACGAATTCTAAGATATTAGATAGTATTTGATTACATTTAGTTTGAACCAATAAGACGCTTAGCTTTAGATTTGGACTAATTTTAATTGGCCATTGTTTTCCGTGGAATAAAACACCAGTCACATTTGTATAAATATATACACATTGTTTTATTTCTAATAGTTTCGTTAATTAAAAAAATTTGTCAATGTTAAATGAAATTTGTACATCATACTATAATTTTTGTCATATACTTATCGTTTAAAAAAAAATTTTTAGATTTATTCGGTCATATTTAGTTATGCTTAGTCGTTAATCTAAATTAGAAAACAGGTAGTGGTGAGCACTCATTTTTATTATCAAAAATCTCCAATTGAACTTTTGTTTTTTATTAATTAGGAAAAAAAAGAGTGTCCAATGAATAATGACATTAAATTTATCTAATATATAAAGAAAGCATACATTCATATATAAAAGTAACACTCTTAAACATTTGTCTTTAGTTTCGATTACGATCTTTACAATTCCTTCCTTATTTTTTGATTAAGTCATACATGACGTGTTAAGTTTTTCAAACATTGTACAATTTATTAAAAAAATTATAACATGAATGTAAATGATAATGAAGCAACGGAGCAATATGAACCTTCCATTAAAAATATCATTGAACAACGATCTTTACGATGGATTTTCGTCGGAGGTAAAGGCGGAGTTGGGAAAACAACATGCAGGTAATTACAACCTTGAAATTATGCATCTGTTAATGATAAACATTTTTATTTGTCTTTATTATATTGATTTCTCTTGTTTCTTTTAGCTGTTCTCTTGCTGTACAACTGTCAAAAGTAAGAGAAAGTGTTCTTATTATCTCTACGGATCCTGCCCATAACATCTCAGATGCCTTTGATCAGAAGTTTAGTAAAATACCTACCAAAGTTAAGGGTTTCAATAACTTATTCGCAATGGAAATTGATCCAAATGTAGGTATTACCGAGTTACCTGAAGAATATTTTGAAGGTGAAGCAGGTTTGTAGAAGCATATCATTATACTTTTATTAATATATAATACATTATAATATTTTATTAACAAATGAGAGTTCTAGGTGGGGAAGCAATGAGATTAAGTAGAAATGTTATGCAAGAAATAGTTGGCGCATTTCCTGGTATAGATGAAGCAATGAGTTACGCTGAAGTTATGAAGTAAACGTTCATTAAGCTTCGATTAATATTTCAGTTCATATTTTTTTAATGCATTAAATGTTTATATTTGTGGATATTAATTTTTAGATTAGTTAAAGGAATGAACTTCTCCGTTGTAGTATTTGATACTGCACCTACTGGTCATACTTTAAGGTTATTGTCGTTCCCACAAGTGGTTGAAAAAGGCTTAGGAAAACTGTTACGTTTAAAAATGAAAATTGGCCCTTTCATTAAACAGGTTTGTTAAATAGTTGATGATGTTTCATAGTTGTTATATTAAATATTTAAAGTAACACTTTTATGTTCAATTTAAAATGTGTATATATATATTATTATAGATTAGTTCTTTATTGGGAATCACTGATTTCAATGTGGACACTTTTTCAAATAAAATGGAAGAAATGCTAGCAGTTATTCGTCAAGTCAACGAACAGTTTAGAAATCCAGATCAAACTACCTTTGTTTGTGTGTGCATAGCTGAGTTTTTATCACTTTATGAGACAGAAAGACTTGTACAAGAATTAACGAAATGTGGTATAGATACACACAATATTATAGTAAATCAACTACTTTTCCTGAAGGAAGGTGATGTTCCATGTAGACTTTGTCTTGCCCGGCACAGAATTCAGGATAAATATTTGGAACAGGTAGATTAATTATTTTACAATTAATATATTTACATAATAATTCCTTATTGTATCTTTTTTTTTCAAGATTATGGATCTTTATGAAGATTTTCATGTTACACGTCTGCCTTTATTAGAAAGAGAAGTTCGTGGTGTACAGCAAGTTAAAGAATTCTCTGAAAATCTTATCAAACCGTATAAACCTTAACATAAATGTAATTAATGGGATTATAATATATTACATATAATCAGACAATTTGATGATTTAGATTTCATTATGAAAAAATTTATATAAAGATTTAATTCTTATATTTCTATAGTTTATATTACAATAATCAGATAAATTCATTCTCTATTGCTTTTTCTAAATCTACATAAAAACGTAGTAGATTACTGATAGATAAAAATTTTTATGCATTTTCTATTATTTGCGTGATCTCCTATATTGAATGTATACATTTTATACAAAATAATCTATTAATTATAAATATATTATTTTTAAGAGACAAATAGTTCGAATAGTTATATAATATCGTCGACTATCTGCTCAAAATACTTCACGCAAATATTCAAAAACGCGCTAACAAATCTTTATATAAAAAATTTTAATTGCATAAAACATATTCACATTTATCATATCATATTGTTATGATTAATAATCGTTTTTTATTTTTGTCAGTTTAATTTATATCTTTATAATAACAATGTTGGTATGTTAAATATGTTTAATGCACAAAATCATAATTGAGTCTGATTTTATTTTCATATAATTAAGAATATTTGATTAATATTAGTTTTTTTATGCTGGAAAAAGGTAATTAATATATTATTATATAACAGATAATTTTTTTCCAATATGTATAAATGCATATATAGCTTTGTCTATATCTTCTTTAGTGTGTGCTGCACTTATTTGAACTCTTATTCTTGCTTTGTCTTTTGGTACAACAGGATAACTGAAGCCAATTACATAAATTCCTTTTCCTTCAAAGATAATTACGAATATGAATTAACATAAATAATAAATAGAAGTATATAATTTGAATAGTGATATGACTTAAAATAGATATAATAACAAAATGGTATTCGTACCAATCATTTCATCAGCAAAAGTTGAAGCTAATTTCGCATTTCCCAGCATAACTGGACAAATGGGGTGACTATTACCATTGATTGTAAATCCAGCAGCAGTCATTGATTTTCTAAAATGTTCTGTATTGCTCACTACATTTTTCAAAAATGTTGTATCAGATGATATTAGATCCATCACCTATAGATGAGAAATTCTTGTTTAAATTCATTTATTTTATTTCATTATTTATGATTTAATATATTGCATTAATGTATAGAATATTTAGTATATACTTTATTAGCTGTTGCTACAACAGGTGGTGGCAAAGAGTTTGAAAACAAATATGGTCTACTGCGTTGTCTTAACAAATCAATCAGTTCTTGCTTACTGACTGTGTATCCACCTGCTGCTCCACCTAAGGCTTTTCCTAAAGTAGAATTAATAATGTCTATACTACCTAAATGATTGAAATATTCTTCAGTCCCTCTAAAATTACATTAAATTATATTAAACATATAGATAAGTTGAATGATTAACTATTAACTAATAGAAATCATCTACTTACCTACCAGTTTTTCCAAAAAATCCGGTTGCATGACAATCATCTACAAATGTAAAAGCATTATACTTCTTTGCAAGATCGATTATATCTGGCAATGGAGCAATAGTACCATCCATCGAAAAGACTCCGTCAGTCGCGATAATTCGTAAACGCGACGTGGAGCTTTCCTTAAGTTGTCTTTCTAAGTCAGCCATATCTCTATGTTTATATCTTTAGAAACAAAAATTCAGGATAATTTAAGAATCATCTAATTTTCAAATTATTCTAATTTTTCTTTACATGATACCTGTATTTTTTAGCCTTGCATAATCGAATACCATCAATGATCGAGGCATGATTAAGCTCATCGCTGAACACTGCATCGTCTGGTGTAAGTAGAGCTTCAAAGAGACCAGCGTTTGCATCAAAACAAGATGCATAAAGAATTGCTGCTTCTCTACAATGAAAAGCTGCTATTTTCTTTTCTAATTCGATATGCAAGTCTTGCGTTCCACATATGAATCTAACAGAACTCAAACCAGCTCCATATTTATCTAAAGCGACCTTAGCTGCGGTAATGATTTCTTTGTTATCCTAATCATATTTAATACATTTTACATTTATTGGTTTATATTTATTTTAATTTTAATTTTTAAAAAAAGTTCTTGTTACCGCTAAACCTAGGTAATTGTTTGCACAAAAATTTAACACTTTTTGTCCGCTCGCTAATACAATTCTTGTTCTTTGAGGTGATGTAATTATTCTTTCACTTTTCCAAGTACCAGCTGCTTTTATCTCCTCCAATTCTGGTTTTATAAATGTTACCAAAGAATTTGCTTTAGTAAATCGAATCCTTTGAATACCATGAGTTTTAATAGCTGCAAAAAAATAATGATACATTTATAAAATTTCTATTTGTGATTTACAACAATTATCTTTACAAATAAACAATTAGTTTAATGAAACTAACTTCTATCGAGTATTCGGTACATTTTATATGAATCCAATATACTATTCTAGAATGTTTAAACGTCAAATGAAATGATTATAAAAAGTGAAAGCAAACAAGAACCGGTTTTACTTGTTATTCTTAATGATGCGAAAGATGCATATTTAACAGTTCCTATTATTTTCATTCTAATTTATTTATCCGTAAAAAGGTCAAATGAAAAGTTATAAGAATATATTATATATTTTTAATAATTTGTTTTTTAATATCTCTTATTTTTTACTTTATTAATATATTTATTATATATAAGTATGCATCAAATTTATTAAACAGCCAGTTTAACGACCATAAATTTCTTTGCAAAAGTTAAGGGACTACGAATATACATTTTTCTATATTTTAAATAAATAACAAAAAATAGAATTTTTTTTTCCTACTCAACTGATAAGTAGCATCAAGTGTATCTACATATGATAAAAAAGAATTTATGTTACCGTGACAGACCGAAATTGGAGAAAAAATGTTAAGATTTACATTCAAATTTGCAGAAAATAGTCTTAAGTTGTTAGTGGATTAATTCGATTAAATTCTAATCAGTTTCCCTTACACATTTATTCAATAAACACTTTGCTAAAGTTGTATATACGAACTGATCCCTATAATCGGCTGTCAAAGCTAATAATTATTGCATTTATATAATTATAATACATGCATTATTGCATAACAGACTAATTGTTAGTTAATTCTGAAGCATTGGGACGCCATTTTAAAATACTGTCGGAACGCCATTGTTACGCTCATAGAGCGCCATTGATACGGTATCGGAACGCCATTATTACGCTTATAGAGCGCCATTGATACGATATCGGAACGCCATTATTACGGTAATAGAGCACCATTGATATACGCTAGTAGAGAGCCAATGATATTCTAATAAAGCATAATTGATGCGCTATTGGTGCGCCATTGTTGGACTTAAATAAATATGAATTAAAATTTATTCGCCAGTAACACGCATCGATGTTTACACATTGAAGTCTAAAAACTAACTAAAAGACAATGTAAGCAATCAGGACATTTTTTTGTTTACATTTCGAGTAGTCCATATTCTCCGATCTTTTAAACAACAATAGACACTTCTATTGATTAATTAACAATTATTTGAATACCCTCTCTAATGCATAATTTAAACACATATACATTTGTATAGACATTTCATACCTATTAACATACTTTTAATAGAAAATAATTTTGATATATAATTTTATTTCTTATGTTTTTAGATGACTATTTTAAACTCGGTGTCTTTATTGTGCCGAAATGTAAACAGGAATTGCCCTGATTATTTACATTGTCTTTTAGTTAGTTTTTAGACTTAAACGTGTAAACATCGATGCATGTTACTGGCTAATAAATTTTGTTACGCGAAAATTGGACTTGTGTGTGAGCTTCTATGTACTTCTGTATTCTTTGGTTGTAATTAATTTCTTTCAGTTTCTCAAACTGTTTTATCTCTCGTAGATACTAAACGTTTACCCATAATAGTTTTACGAAAATAAATGTAATTTTCGATGGCGCTGCAAGCATTGAATTTTAGAACAATTTCAGGATATGAAAATTCTTCTTATGATCTGTATAAATTTGGAAGATAAGTTGATTAAAGTAGAAGAGAGAAAAATATAAGTTTAAATTTATCTTGTGTGTGGAAATATTAAAATAATAATGACAAGTACAAAAGAAGAAGATTCCCCTGAGAACGTATCTGATACAAATCTTGCCAATTATTCGGTTATGTTAGATTCTGGTCAATTTGATAATAAAGAATTAGGTACAATGAAAGGTGATAGTATAGGAGATACTGTTTATAGTGCAAAATGGATACTTAATACACTTATATCGTTATCAAAGGTAATTCCACATCAATATATACCGTCTATGTATTAAATAATATTATATACTTAAAAGATTTTTTAATTTATTTAGGTTCAAGATGTTGGTTGGACCGAGGAATTAGAAAATGATTTGTGTATATTATGGGACATGACTGCTGAACAAGACATAGCCATGTATTTATATGAAAATGACTATTTGAAAATAGTCCAAATTTCCTTAGAAACTTCTACTGTACCTAGATTAACAGTATGATTTACCGACTTTTTATTTTAGTTAAACATATTTATGTAATGTAGAAAACAACACCAAAAGCTTGCATTATAAATTATTAGAGATTTTGTACAATTTTTTATTTCGTAAAGGAAAATTTAAATATTATGCATCGTTGGGGGCGGATTTCATTTCCTTGATGTGTGCAATCGTAATTCTTTCTGAAATATATTTCCCGAATGGTGGAACCACTCGGGATGAAAATGATCAGATATAGATCAATAAATTTTGTATCAACTGTATAAAATTATTTATTTTTAGGAAATATTACTTGGTATTATTGGAAATATATGTTGTCAAACATGTATATTGGAATCAATAGGAAATAATAAGCCACTTGTCAAAATAATTTGGAGTAATCTTTTGTCAGACGATACAGAGTCTTTACATCAAATTTTTCGATTATTACAAGCAGTAATTTGGGATATTCGAAGGAATCCTAAATCTCAATGGGTAAACAATATTAAAGAGTGTGAATTTTTTAGCGACGTTGTGATTTTTGTATTAAATAGTTCTACTAATAGTAAGTAAATTAATACTGTGCTCTATATTGTTAAGTATGTGCTATCGTAATTTTAGATTTGATTTATAAATGTTCCAGATGACTTGCTCATTACAACTTTAGATTTACTTCTTTCAATTTCGAAACTAACCGATACCAACTTACTGTTAGAATTATTTAACATAAAGAAATTGGTTCCTGCACTTTTAGAGTGTTTTATGCAACTTATTCCGCAGCAAAAATCACATTTCACAGATTCAGAAATAAGAATGATTGAAAAATGGCTTACCATAATGTCCACTGCTATGAAATTCACAATGACAACAGCAAACAGTGACAATAATGAAAACATTATGATATTAATGGATATTATACTAAAGATATTACAGCCATATAAACATAAAAGCAATTTGATTCCACTTGATGAAAATTCTGCATTGTGTATTCAGGAATGCATTGAAATAATATTATATATACAGAAAACTGAAATATGCATTATACCAGAAATCAACAGTATTATAATAAACATCATCTGCAAGCTTAAATCAAGTATTTGTATAATATTATTAATAATTTATAATATTTATCATACAAACTTTTTCACACACACATATTGTAATTTTATCAAATGTATTTTGCAGCTGATCACGACGATTTTACGAGTCATCTAGATGATATAGTTACCGAACTTATTGACTACTTAGAAAGATATTGGGTGGAGATGCTAGAATTATATACTATTGATCAGATAAAAGATATTCTATGTATTTGCGATAAGAACATTGTAAATAGTTTAATTGAATTTATTAAGCAACGGCCTAATGTATCACAATTTAAATTAGATAAGTTATTAGAAGCGTATTCTTGTCTCTCTTAAAAAATGTATATGAAATTAATGAAAACAATGGATTTTATATTTAAGAGTTTGATTATTCAAATAAATTTCATATAATTTTTACAAAATTGTTACATCCTCTGCGAACGTTTCTTTTTTTTGCTTTTTACATTGTACAAAATAGAATGACCGAGCATTCGCCAGACACGAGATCGAGCTTCTACTTCGACCTGCGATTATGATGGAATCCGATTGAATGAAAAGCCTTCTCTAACTGAAATATTATTTATTCATATATTATTTTTGTATATTAAAAAAAAAGCATACAACAAAAGACATGTATTTTTTTTCTTCTTTTCTTACGAAAGATTAAAATATTTTTATAAGATTTTAAATAATATGATTGATGATATTCTTGATAGCATTACAAATTTTTCTTATTATTAAAATAATACTCGATGCACATCAGTACACATCAGTGCGTGTTGTGTTCCTTTCGTAACAACATGCGTGTTACATTTGAGGTTTCAATTGAATGTCAATCAGAATGTTTTATATTATTGCATGAGAACTTGCAACTAGGAATGTTAATCGGGTAGGTAGGTTGATTAAAAAAAACGATGTTCGTGAACTTTGTATCCAATTTGAATAATAAGTTGGATGTGAACAAATTTATGACTCGTTTTTCGCGTTGAACTTTTAAATATTTCTAATCAATGATTAATGAAAAATGATATTTGTTAGAAAGATAAATTGTAGAAGTAGAGTTTTAGCCCGCGGGTCTCCGAACACAGCAACCTCCTCGCGGTGAGACCTGGGTCGGTATTACTTGCGATATATTCAAGTCTAATTGTAAATTATGTAACGCAAGTACTACCGGGCGAATGGCTGTATTAAATTCAATCTAAATTTATTAACAAATTTAATTATTATTAACATTTTTTTGGTCCTTCTGACACATTGTTATTTTTTCTGTGAAATAATCAAATTTAAATGCATCAAATAATCTCTTAAAAAATCAAATTTATGTATATATAAAATAAATATTTAATGTTATGTTTGTGTGTGTTAGTTTTCGATTACAATGTAAATGTGCAGTATAGAATAATTTGTATGAAGCGCACAGTGAAAAAATATATAAGATGATCTCTGCACTTTCGTTGCCTTGAGGCCTCCGCATTCTGAAGTTCGGTCCTGCATATTAAAGATCAAGTAAAAATAATACTTTTATCATCATTATATAGCATGTTATTGTAATAACAATACCACATATGTCAACTCGATAAAACTGATAATTGTCTCTGTGTATATGTAAATGTCATTTTTTACGTGATAGTGGATTTATCATCACGATAAATGCATTTATCAGTTTGAACTTTTCGATTAGATTCCACTTTTAGTTGCTTTTCTACATTACATGAGAACACATATTAACGATTGCTAAAGCACACAGTAAAAAGCAAAATGAATTACTCCGAATTTTACTCGAAAATTACTCTTAGAAGGAGAGAAAATCCGATTAGACGAATAAGTAAGACATACTTAAATATTATAATCTTAATAAATCTTAAATATCGTTTGTTAATAATTATTATGAACATATAAGTGTAATATTACATATCTTATTATATAAATTCTAGCTGAAACTTTTTTATCAAGTAACAAATTGGATGTAATAAATTTTGCTGGTGGAATACCAAATACCGATACTTATCCTTTTGAAGGAATTAACGTGTCGTGCAAAGATAAAACGAATTTGGATCTTAAAGATAAGGATTTAGCTTTAGCTCTTCAATATGGACCTGCTAGCGGGTAATTAATTATTCAAACATTTAGAAAATTGTATATTTTATTTAACGTATCGTAACAATTTCGTATATAGGTACTTGCCCTTAATAAAAAAGTATCGAGAACTGCAATGTAAATGGCATAATCCTAAACGAACAGATTGGAACGTAATGTTTTTTTCTGGCTCGCAAGATGGTTGTTCGAAAATTTTTGAAATGTTTCTCAACGAAGGTGATCCAGTTATGGTTCAATCGCCGACGTATACAGCAACGATCAATTCAGTGAGTCGACAATAATATTTCTGACTACATTTTTCAAAAATATATATTAATGATATACCGATATACTGATCGAATTAAAATATAATAATCTTTTGCACTCGAGGCTTTTTTCGCTATGACGATTAGAATGACCTGTTATTTCGTACATTGCACATATAATACAAACCATACACGTAAAAATGCGAGTGTGTGCAAGAGTATAAAACATTTTTAATATCTCGTTACAGTTGGTATCCTTGAATCCCGATTACATTGAAATAATCCAGGATAGCGACGGTATCATACCTGAGGAAATAATAAATGTATGCGAAAAAAGATTAAGCGATGGAAAACCATTGCCGAAGGTAACAAAACAATATAAATCACCGTGAAAGAAAATCTTACTTGTCGTATCTAGATTTTCCTCGTATAATTTATAATAATTATTATTTACAATTAGTTAATATACGTCAATCCTACTGGTGCAAATCCAACAGGAACTGTATTAACCGAAAGTCGTAGGAAACAAGTATACGAATTAGCGCAGAAATACAATTTTCTTATTGTAGAAGACGAAGCGTATTGTTTTATTCATTTTATGAATAAACAACCTACGTCTTTCTTTTCATTGGACACAGAAGGACGCGTATTAAGGGTGGATTCATTTAGTAAAATTATTAGTAGTGGTATGAGATTAGGTTGCGTCTCGGCTAACACCGAACTTCTGAAAAAATTGTCACTGCATGTAGAAAATAGCATTTTACAAGCCAATTCGTTGTCACAGGTAAAATCAAATTAAACAAAATATATATATATATATATATATATATATGTATCATAATGACAATGTAAAATATTATCAATGTTCTCGCTAATCCTAAAAGGTGATTGTTTACAAATTATTTGATTCGTGGGATGAAGATAAATTCGATAAACATTTCAAGAGTCTTCAAGATTTTTATCGAATAAAACGTAACAGTGTGTTAGCAGGAATTAAAAAACATCTTACAGGTAATCGTGAAAGTAATTTATATCTTACACAGTAATATAAAAATAAAAAATTATTGTACAATCTTATCGGATTTAATTATAAATCTTTGTAACGTTAACAGGATTAGCCAATTGGATAGAACCTAAAGGTGGTTTCTTTGTATGGATTAAATTGATTGGAATTGATGATACATATCATTTTGTAAAGAACAAATGTATACCCAATGGATTATTCGTAGTTTCTGGAAATTCGTTTTATTATGATAGTACAAAACCTACTCAATACATACGTTTTTCATATAGTTATTCGAATGACGAGGAGATCGATAAGGTCAGTTTTTAGATATTTTTTTTTATTTTTTTCTATAAAATTGTAAAATATTTAAAAGCAATTGCGAGGCAAGAAATATTGATTTTTTTTGTACGAATTGTATATTAATTTCGTCTTTATATATACAGGGACTCTCAATTATGGCCAAATTGATACGAGAAGAAAATCAAATGAAAATTTTGACACGTTAAAAAAAAGATCTATAGTTTTCTTTTTTTTCTTGTTCGTTTTAATTATAAATAGATTATTTACGATGCGTGTGTTTTTGACTTTTTAGGAGACCACAGGAATAGATAATGTAGGAATAATGGTATAGAATATCATTATTTCAAATGAAACATATAGAAAACAAAGGTAATTGGCAATTGAGTATTTTTAATCTTATTTTTCTATTATAAATATTTTGTTCGAAATATCGTTAGAAATTTCAGTTACATATATACTTACATAACGTAAGACTTAATATACACATTTATTTAATATATACTAAATATATACTACTAAATATATAATATTACCGTATACTTATATATTCGCAATATGCATTCAATATTAATTATTGTATGTAATTAAATTGATTGTTATCGTCAAGTAATAAATATATATATATATATAGATATATATATATGTATAAAATGTTTACATTCGTTTCTTAGAAAAACACGTTTGGACATATTTATATTCGTAAGAAAAGAAATTTAAATATTCTATCTAAATCTATAATTCGAGTTAATACGATCATATTATTCCAGAGTCTTATTGTTTTCCTTTTTAGTTACTTTCTTTTTAATAGAAATATATATGTATATGTATATTTTTGACTAAATACTTAAAATATAAAGTAGATAAAATGTATATATGAATATACCAATCCATATACACAAAATAAACACAAAATACGCAATTGAACTAATTGATTATCATTATCGGTCGCAAATAATTACGAATGTTTCAATTCCTAATACACATACAACATTTGTTTCATTAAATATAATAAAGTAGAGTACTAATTAATTTTGTTAATTTAGGATAATTAGAGAATGAGATGTGAATAATTAAATGACATTAATCATTACAATTAATTTTTACATTTGTTTTATTGAAATATTGCTCTGTATATACGTGAACGCGTGGGTGGATTGAAAAATTTGAAGCCTAACATAGAAACAATTCTTTTTTTTTTTATCCGGTCTCAACTTAATTTTATTTTTTAAGAGAGTTTTTTTTTTTCTCGTTGAAACTTCAAAATTGTTTAACCCACACCTTCGTATATTTATATATATGTAGGTATTATAAATAATATCTTGTAATTTGTATTCATGAGTATATAAAAGTACAGGCAAACACTTACAATTAGTGTTTTTTTTTGTAAGAAATTGTTTTATTATAAAGTACATAAGTGTTCTATACGACGCTAGCACAAAATCACTTTATTAATTCACATTTGATTTTCAATAACGAGCACTCTACTATATTAAATTTAATATCATGGAAATATATAAAGAAATAAAACTTAAGTAATTTTTTTTTCCTTTTTTTTTTCTTTTCTAGAATTAACTTAATATTTCAATTTGAAACGTAAGTGTAAAAAAAAACAAAAGAAACAAGAAAAACGCATGTGTTTTTTTGGTTCTTTTTTAATCGATTGTACCTAATTGATTTTCTTCTATTTAATGTAACTTTAAATATAAATCTATAATATGAAGATAATTTACTTTTCGAATTGTTAGATTTATATGTCGTAAATAAAATTTAATTCTAACATACATTAAACGGTTTTTATCATAGAATCGTAAAGAAGCGAGGTTTTATAACAATCTTATTCTAAACACAAGAGAAAAAGGAAACGTTGTTATAAACAAAGAAAAAAAAGAACGCACAAAATAACCATAAGAAATAGTTAAAGCACAAATTATCTAACATATTTGCTTTATTTTCTTTTATTTTATTTCTCATTTTTTTTTTCCTTTTTTATACTTTCTATTTAATCAGTCGAAAAATTCTCGCAGAGCAGTCTATTGCAATAGCTATTAATGTATACTATAATAATAATATTAATAATAATAATAATAATAATAATAATAATTACTATTGACAATATAATATACTTAGATGTCTATTATATTTTCTGCGTTAATAATTCGATCGAACGCAACATTAATATGCGTTCCTGATCAAATTAAATAATTCGTTTTTCACAAAGTACATTTGAATAAAAAAAGTATCTTCACATTTACTTTTCGTACTGTCCCAGTCTTAGAAATAAAAATGAGGCGTCACATAAATCTATATGCATAATCAATCCGAAAACGATAATCCTTTGTTTCTTTTTCATTCTTAATTTCGAGACTTTTTTTTTGTTATTAAAAAATAATAATTCTTATTCTAAGTTATATGTGGGCAGCGCCATCGCTTTATAAATTAGATATAAGAAATATCTTGAAATTTGAAGTATTATTTTTCATATTGATCGATAGGTGTGTTCGCGTGTTGTTTTTTTAACTGCAATTATTATTTTATCTAATCTTCTTCTCCCATTAATCGACGAATACTTAAAGAATTTTCTAAATCTTTGACGATAAATATCTTTTCGAAGTTACCCCTTCACGTATGTGGATCCTCGAAGCGTGTTACATAAAATGAAGTCAGTTGAATTTAAAAAAAAAAAAAAAAAAGAGAAAAAAAAAAGTACAATGAAATAGACGAGAAAAAGGAAACATAATCTTGGAACGATAACTCTCAATCAATGATCTTATTTTAATACAATCGATAAATTGTCAAGGGGAAACGGGGTTAAATATATGTTAGTTGTGTGTGTGTGTGTGTGATATAAAAATATAAGTTTTGCTAATTCAGTTCGTAAGAGAGAAAATTGGAAGAGATATGCAATGAAACCGTATAATTAAATCGTGTACGGATATTGCAGGACGTAATTCCTGATGATAGTTGGTAAATTGTAGGTAGGTAATTTGTGTTTGTTGATAGCCAATCTTGCCAAGTGAGAAAGGGATCTAACTTCTTTGACCAAGGGTTCAGCGAGGTAGATTTGACCGTATAGTAGGCCACTATAATCGACCCAAACCTCTCTCCTACGTTCATTTTTATTTTTTCTTTTGGAATATTCAATGTAATATTCCAGCAGTCTGATAGGACAATCGAAACAAGGTATGGCACTGATTAAACTTGGATCCGCGTCTAGTCTAAAGCCATTAACGTGACGCATCCTGACGGATGTAGGACCCCTTTCGGTTTGCACGGAAACAGCAAAGATGAATCTGCTGTCCGAGCTATCCCTCATCAGCCACCTGCCAATTGCTACGTTTTTAAGAAGAATCTCACTCTGTTGCCAACTTAAACCCTCGTGATACCAACCGCAAGCTCGGAGATATTTTTTGATTCTCATTAAATGATCTTTAGATTCCTGAATCAAAAAATTATTGAGACCCACGGGCATGATCCAAGATATAGGAGATATAACAGCAGGCGTTTCTTCGTTTTCCTCGAAGTTATAATGAAAACACTCGTCGCTAATTTTCTTCTTGAAATTCTCTAATCTGACTATACCACCGCCGTTGAAATAATTACGGCTTCTACCGGTGACAATTGCCGATGATAATTCACCTAAACTAGAATTCGCGGCTCTAGTTGCCGTTATATTAACAGAACATTGTTCTATATCTGCCGGCAATTGTAAAGTGGCATTTAATTGTAATTGAACGCCATTAGAACTACGAAGAGATTCATTATCATTGGAGTTGTTTAACAAATCTCCCGAGGACGGATTAAATGGCAGACCATTATTAACCATCGTTCCCTTTCTTTCAGAAAATATTGTTTGAGTGTCGAAACTCTTGTTGTCTATGTAATTGGGCCGCGTTCCTGTTGGACAAAAGGAGGCCATATTTTGAAAAAAATTATTTAAATCTGTCGTTGCCAATGGCGGCGACGACGACTGTTTAAGTATATTATGTTTAAGCGGCGTTGTTTCTTCTTGAATGTAATTCCTTTCGGATGATTGCCAATCTTGTTTAGGAATGATTTTAATATTAGGATATCCAGAATCGGGCTCGTTCAAATTGTAACGTGGCACGTCGAAATCATCCTCGATCGGTCGTTTTTCCGAAAAACATTTCAACGAAGGGTTCCTCCTGATGCCCGGCAATTCTTGACATCCGCTAGGTGTTTTCATAGTTATTTCGTTCGAATAAATATGCTCGCGAAAGCGTGAAATACCACATCCGCAATTGTCCGTATCCATCGTTGAGGATTTTTCACTGCCGCCATTGTCCTGATCGTCAGTTGACATTTTTGTTTCAACGAAACGTCCGCCAACTGACAATTTCGGATGGATCACATTGTAGGGTGTTTCTGCTAGGGCACAAGTATCGGTATTGTAAATGAAACAATCACCCGATTGTATATTCGGCGTTGATATGGTTACGCTACCACCTGTCAGATCGCAAGTAGTGATACGACATATCGATGATGATATACAATCTTCTCTATCCTTTTTTGTCAGATTTAAAGATAAATCTGATCGTGGACCCTTAGTTAACCTCTTGGACGAATAACTGTTCTTCGTTGATTTATTATTAACACATTTCGGACCTTTACTCGAATCCGGCGTTTCTGTTTGAATTAATTTAATCAATTGGTCATTATTGTGACTTCCGTCCAATTGGATGGAATATTTTGGAATATTTTGTTCATTAATGATTGTCGATGCGTTCATCAAACAATCGGTATCATTGGTGTGTTGTTCTTCGGACATCAACCACCCATCCTCGGTACAAGGCCGAGTTTCACTACAATTATCTTCATTTTGTTTTTCATCAGCCAAAAATTCAAGGCGACAATTAGGGCACATCACTGTCAACATCTTGACACTTGATTAGTTTGCGTCACCGTTGTTGAATAAAGTACAACATTGATGGCACCCCGGCGTTCACCTAAAATCATATAACGAAACAAATTACTCATTTTGCTTTTTTTCTTTTTCTTTTTCTAAACGCGAATAAATATTTTAATATTAAATCTATAGTATTTATATTTCTCACAAAATTGTGTACAATTTGATTAAGTACATTTCATATGGTTTCGCGTGCTAGAAATATAAAAAAAAACGAGCTAATACTATATAAGTTTAGATGTTTTGTGTTTTGAATATTAAAAATAAAAATACAAATGTATGTCTACTCAATGAAAAAAGACGACTGAACTATAAAGATTAAGTTGCTGAAGAAATCCCAATAAAGGGACGTAACGTCCAACTTAGTTAAATTAAGTTCTACTTCTTCTTTTTTATGTCCAAGTTCCCTGTGATACCTTCTCATTGAGAATAAAAAGAAAAATAACAACAAATGTCCCATTTAATATCCAAAATCTTGATATCTATATGGTGGTCAGTTTATCATAGAACGTGGCGATACAATAAACGTGCGTTCTAGCATGGTGACCGAAGCTTCTAAGTACCGCAGGAAGTAAGTAGTTATGTACTTCTAGGTAAATGGACAGGCCACACACATGCCCATGTGCACGCAGAGAAATGAATTCGTATTAAAAAATATATTCGTGTTTTAGGAATTCTCGGCGTGGTGTCCTCTATTGTGTCGTTTCTGTTAAACCTTTGAGTTGGTCGAATATAGAAGAAGAAGAAGAAAAAGAAGAAGAAGAGTGTATTTATAAATCTGACATATGCCTTGAATCGAGAAATTTATTAGAAGTTACTTTTTTCCTCTATCACACAAGCTAAACGAAAAATTCAGCTTCCTATGGCCTTTATACCTCTCGATTTCAACGATTCCTCCTATTTCCGGTATAAACCAAAGAAATCTTACCAAGAAAACTAATTACACATATTGATAATTAGTTAATGTTTTTTTTTTAATCACCACTTTTCTAACCATACACGAATTATACATGTTATTTATTTATTATTATGCACTTTTACGAAACGCATAACCAACTGACGTAATTTTTCTAAGAATATATTATTATTGACGGTTTTATACCAGGAACCAAATGGCCGGAAAGTTACAAGAAATTCTCCCTTTCGATAAAATGCGACATTAAGTAAGGTGTGCAAAGTTTCAAGTATTGATCAGAGAAATGATGATTCCACGATAGGTAAACGAAGAAACATAGAAAACTTGATACACTTTAATATACGTCCTCTTACGCGTCATTACGATTCGGAAAATTATACGTCAAATTATTAATTAGACGTTTTAAAAATAATACCAACCCCTATCTCGAATAAAAAGTTAATTTATTAATTTAATATGTAAAACCTATACGAGAATTAATCAATTTGAAATCCAAATTTTACTTACTTATGTTTAAAAGAAATACGCTGTGACAAATTATTATCGAAAGTTGTACTCCGATCGATAAAACGTTTAATCGTATTATGTGCGTATGTATGATATAGATACATATATATATATATATCAAGAGAGAGATATATACTTATCGTTCAAAGTATTTATATACTAATAATAAGAAATCGATTTTTTTATTTCTTTTATTCGATTCTCGATTAATATATCTTTTGTTGATGAATAATCACCAAATGTAATGCACAATTAAACAAGTATTACGAATAGTTTTCTCATTTTATATCTATTTTCTTTATTTTATTATTTCTTTTTTAATTATTATTATTATTTCTTTCTATGTATTTCTTTTTTCCTTTATCGTTATCTCTCTCTCCTTCCTTCCTTTTATCTATCTATCTCTTCCGTAAATCGAACAGAAGCGTGATAAAAACGTCACACACAGAGTACGAGTGAATTGCGTAAATCTTTCGAATGGAAGAACTGTACGGGCATCTATATCACGATTTCCTAGTACTCGCGTGTTTTTGCGTCTATCCAAATAGTCTTGCGCAACTATTTCAACGTAAATAATCAACGGAGGCGTAATAGAAAGAGAAAGAGATAGAAAATGAGAGAGAGAGAGAGAGAGAGAGAAAGAAATATCGAAGTGATCGTCTAGGAACGATATTTCAATGTGTCTTTATCTCTCTCTCTCTCTCTTTCTCTCCCCCTCTTTCACCCCCTGCTTCTCTCATTCTTTCTCGTGAATACAATGTTCTAAGAGTTAAATGAATACGAGAAGAAGAAGAAGAGACTGGCTGTGGGCGGCTTTGTGAGTCCGTTTCATGAAAGAGCATCCGAATAATACTGGTAAAAGTGAGACACACATACACACAAATAATACAAATATACAGGAAGAGAGAGATAGATATAATAAGTTCATACACACAAACGAGAGAGAGAAGAGTCTATATAGGAGTTTATTGTGCGACGAAGCATGTGGCCACGCGTATGTATATATGTGTGTGTGTGTGTGTTATAGGTGATTTCGTAGTATTAGTGGAGTAGCGCGAATGGCCGCTTCCACGAACTCGAGTCTCTCGGAGTTCTGCCTTCAGAGAGTGTGAGAGAGGAAAAGAGAGGGTAACCAAAGAGAAAGAGAGAGAGAGAGAGAGAGGGGGGAAGAGAGGAGAAGGAGCCGATCCGGTGTCGCAATGCCAAAAACTCGATCCTGTCCCGTCTTCTCTATACTACCAGAATCCCTTCTTCCATCCTCAACTTCACAACCCCCATTCTTTATTATATATACCCTTTCTTTTTATTTTTCATCTCTCCCCTTTCTTTCGGAAACATTTATATAGGTATATATATATATGTATCAAAGAAGATTGACGCAATAACATCGGCAGCATGATGTTATTATTATATTTTTGTTCTTCTTGTATAAAGTATGTTCTTATCTCTAAATAAAATTGTAATTATCTCACTTAGGTGATATAAAGATAGAAATATTAGAGTTAACCAAAAGTTCGTACGTTTCATTGTGTACTTTCAAAGTAAACTGCATAATAATATCGGATGATTCTGTGTGGTTTTGGGGGTAAAATTTATATTGGAAATATTAATATTTAAATAAACGTAGACGAACTATCTTTTCGAATATAAGTTTTCATATTTAGTAGGATTATAACGACGAAGAAAAAAAGTAAATACAAGTTCTGGTAGCCTCCACACATGCTGACGAAAGCATCACATCATATCACATCATGTCCTATCCTTATCCTTATCCTTATCCTTATCCTTATCGTTATCCTATCACATCGTGTCGTATCGTTATATATATATTCGTTGTCGTCTACGTACACGAAATCATCGACAAGACGATGACGTAGATGATAACTAACGAAAATATGTCATTTGTTCGTTGTAATCCTCGAATGAAAATTCTCGCGTTAACGTGAAGCTCGTTTACCGAGTTAACGATTATATACCATAACCCATTTTATCTTCTGGGTCCATGGAATTCCGAAGGTGTACATTACGCGCATTTACACTCACGCTACTTCGAGGAAAAGTGATATCTCCCGTTTGGAAGGCACTCGTGTGTACGACGGATTCTATCTTTATAAAGTTAAAAAAAAAAAAAAGAGAGAAAAAAAGAGAGAAAAAAAAGAGAAAGAGATATATATATATTAAAAAGTCGCCAAAAGTTCTATCCAAATTTTTCTTACATTTTTATTAAAGTTAACAACTTAATTAAATTAAGTTCTACTTCTTTTTTATGTCCAAGTTCCCTGTGATACCTTCTCATTAAGAATTTTATTTTTGGACGAGAGAAATAATTGATTAAATTTTTATGAAAAAATATTATACGCGTTCAATGATCATTTGCATCTAGTATTAGTTTACCGATTAGATAGTGAGTTGTTACAAGTATGATATATTTTATATTCTATTTATCCTTTTCTCGAATAGAAATAATATTGTAATAATGCAATATCAAATACATATTAACTATAGGATATAAAACTTATTAACATATGATAAAATATGTTTCGAGGTGACTTAATGTTTTTCTTTCTCTCTCTCTCTCTCTCAGCACCTCTTTATTTTTATCATATAAAAAGCTTTCAAAGTTGGCCTCATTATATTCCTATAATGATAACAAAAAATATATATTATAAGATAGAAAAAGAAGAAGAAGAAGAAAAAGAAAAAAGACTTAATAGTTCAAAGAAATGATCGCGCAAAAGGCTTCGTTAAAATCGATGACAAATTTCTTTAGGAATCGCAATTGGAACTCGCGATTGATGTTTAAGAATTGTTTCATATATAAGAGAGAGAAAGAAAGAGACAGAACATATGTGCTATCGTGTAAACGCATACATGTACACATACACAGACAAATTCTCACGTGTCAATATGATTACTTATATACGTTTTAAAGGACGAAACGATATCGAATACTTAAAAGTGTATTTCGCAAGCTACGTCATGAGTCATGTCAATCATACGTAAGAGTAAGATCGATTGATTGATCGATAAATCGATCGCGATAAATAGATAAGTAGATAGTAGATAGATAGATAGATAAATAGATTTCGTGTCTCCGAATCGGCACCATGAAATCCGTCATTATTCTTCCGCTTAAGTACACGTCATTGAGCTTTGTATACACCCGCGTGCACACGTAAAAGCTTCACGTAGTAAATGCATATATTATACACACACATATATATATATATAGAGTGTTAGAGAGAGGGAGGGAGAAATCGAGCAGTAAAATTATCAGTAACCGTTCAGAGAAAGCCTTGATAGCGATCCCAGCTTACCTCGAATCGCTTAAATCCTTTGATAGTGATCTACGATACGATGTTACCGAGAATGAGAGAGAACGTGCGAAGGTTGGTTGTTCCATTAACGCGAACGAGATCTTTCTTCTATACTTTTTTTTTTTCTCTCTTGTTCCCTTTTACTTATATACTTTATTCTTATTTTATATAATATTTTTCATCCTTCTTTTATCTGTTACCTTATCGTTTTTTTGAAAACGTCATAATTCGCGAAACAGCATCAATACGCGGATCCCTCCTACTCGTTGATTTACTTTGAAAATAAGATACATGCGTGCA